ACTATAATCAATAGACACTTTTCTTTTTAGATCAACAAGATGAGCATGCTAATAGATCTAAGTATGGAACGGGTATTTTTAATATCCATATAGCAGCCAAGAAAAAAAGTATAATGTAATGATATTTAAGAAAAAAATATATAATAGGTTTTTGATCAATTTGTTGAATTTAAATCTATAATTAATGTGAATTTTGCTATATGTATATATATACTAATTAAATTGATATTTTATTTTGCAGCATGGTGTTGAGATCGTATGATAATTTTATGTTGGCATTTAAATATTTTTTATGTTGTCTTAAATATTTGTATTTTATTTGATTTCGTAATTTAAGTGGATCATATACAGGTCAATACGACCTACTTAACCTGTTTATGATATTAAGCTGGTTACATGAGTTGTATATGGATCAACACGATCCACTTAATCTGTTTAAATATTTATAATATATTTTACGATAATTTTATTATCCAACTTTATTATTTTTGAATAATGTTATAAAAGATTATTTAATTGTTTACTATTGTTTCGCGCATTGTTCGGGTTCTAACACTAGTTGTATATATAATCAATTCTCATATATATCTAAATCTATAATATATATAAATTTGAAAAAAAAAGGAGAATAATGAATTTTTCAAAATTATCCTTAGTAATAATAGATATATTCAAAATTATCCTTAGTGATATTAGAGAGATGCAGGAATAATAAATTTTTTTATTATCTGGTTGTTTTCCTATAATTTGATTAATATATTTTTTAAAATTAATGTTTTAATTAGACATATAAATTTATTTAGGACTTCAAATAATATCTATATAACAATTAATATGTTGTCATCTTATTAATCTCAGTCTCAATATAAATTCATGCTTTAACAACATTATAAAATACAGACAATATAAGAGAAAAATTATAACAAATATACTTAATATTATAACAAAAATAAACAAGTATAAATGAGCAAGTAACGAACAATGGTAACATGTAACGCACATATTTATAGGAAAATAAACCTCAAGATTTTTTTTTAAATCTCGGCCCAAATTTATCAGCTAAAACATTCCACAGTTTGGGCCCAATTAACAATACATCACATTTTTAATATGGGCTCATATAATTATACTGTCTATGTTAATACACGACTAATTATACACAAATTCTACAACTGCGGAGTCTCTTACTATTTGGTATACATAACTTTTTATACATATAACTACATAGTAAAATAATTATGAAACTGAGAAAATTTTCTTCTAGTCCTGCGGCAAAGGAACATAACTTCACCGAATTAAAGAGAAACTTGCTTCCTGAAAAATTAAACAAGATATGTGAGCCTTCTAAGAAGTAATACTTATTGCACAACACACGCATTCACACGAATGTATAAATATATCAATCTAGTCATCCCATCCGACTAGTTATATGCTGCACGGAGCCAGTCACACAAATGCAAATATCATCAGCAACTCAGACAATCATAAACATCTTCATTAATCCACATCACGTGGAAATTAGTCAGTTGGCGCCACCTGAAACCCCAACGAGCCGTCCTCACACATGGCTCGCCCTCTCATACATGTGCACGCAGGGAGCCGATCCCCCATATCGTGCCAACTGGTCTAATCCTCACTGACCAGTCGTCTCATTAGTTTTTCATTCTCTTCGTTCCTTTTCCAATACAACAGGAGGCCAAACCCGGTGGGTCTCCATCCAATCTAGATTCATCAAAGTGCTCAAACAGGAGGCCCACCCTGCGGGCCTACAAATCAAATCTAAGATTGTCAGAGTGCGCAACAACAAGAAGCGCATCCTGTGATTCCCATATAATCTATATCATCAAGGTGCACAAGGGGGCCGCTGATCTCCCAATGTTTCCCGGCCGACGGGTCAAATGTCAAATCATATCGGATCATAATCAACAGACCGCCTCACAACCCATGGTGTCCACTTCATCCAATTCCATCACAAACAACAGCATAACATATTCACAGCACAAGGTAATCAAACAATGCCAATCAAATGCAGACATATTGATCAGTTGAGGCATCAATTTAAATTGCCAATGCACAATTAGAACATTCATTCTTAAATACATATTAAAATAATTAAATAAATGATATTAACAACAACAAAGATAAAATAAAATAATAATAATAATAATAAATAATAAAAAAATGATAATCAAATAAATAAATAATTGAATAATTAAATAAATAATAATGAAATCATAAAAATGATTAGAGGCACTATATTTATTATTATTGAGTTATAGAATTTAATCTAAATAAATTTATTAATTATGTTTATTACTTACAACTAATCTAAATTTCTATGAAAATTTCCGGCAGCACCTCCCCTTAAAAGTAGGGACTATCTAAACCTGTTTAAATATCACAAAATAATATTCATATATATATCAATCAATACACACAGACCATCCGTCGGGCAACTCACAACACATTTTCACATCCGCCACATTCCGTAACTCAACATTCCGTTTAAGCTCTTTGTATCAACAATCATGTTTCCTCTCGTTATCAGATTGCTGACATCTTCACTAAAGGGCTGCCTTGCATTCTGTTTGATGATTTCAGAGACAGTCTTAGAGTTTGTTCCACTCCCGCTAAGACTGAGGGGGTGTGTTAGTGTAATACTTTGTACATAATTAGTTTCCTTGTATGATGCCCTAGCTAGCCTTGTATATATATAGCAACTCTTTGTACTGTATTACTCACGGAATACAATTACAATTGCATTATCCTAAAATCCTAAACCAATTAACTAAACATATTGGACTATCGCAAAATCCGCATACTAATTGATTTAATTTATTTACAAAGGACTAAAAATAAATGTTCTGTATATTTTTAGGATATTCCAATAACCTAATTTTTCCTTAATTATCATTTAATTTACTTAATTACTCAATTAAATTTAGTAATTAACTAATTCAGAATTTATACGAAAATCTGAGAATTGAGTTTTTAGGGCGTACCGATTGAAATTTTGGGCGACAAATTCCACGATCCCTCGCGAAGAGAGGAACAATTCTGTCCCCTTGGTGCCCTCACCGGAGGCTCGCCGGCGCTCCGCTCCGGACCGCCGCCGCGTATCCCGCGTCCACGTGGCCGAAAATCGAACTTTTACCCCAGAAAATTTGTGACTTACGCACACCAAAAATGCTCGAATCTTATGGGGACTCCAATCGCGTGTTCCATTTGAACTGGGTGTGCCTGCCTTTAGCACGGAAAATGGCCCCGGACAGTGGGCTTCGCCACTGCCATTAATGGCAGCTCCGTCATCCGATGCTTCATCCGCCCGGAATGTTGGGGGAAAAAAGATCTCCGAAGAAGAAGGGATGAATGAAGCGTGTCCCCTCGACCTCAAGCTGCCGGAATCGGCGTGGATCGCCGGAAATTGGTGAACACGAACTGTCTCAGGAGACAGCTCGTCTCGCTCTGCTCCCAGTTGAAGCCTTTCCGCGCGAGATGGAGCTGGAAACACGAACCAACCAGTACCAAAGACGAAGCCGACCGCCACATCGCTTCTAGATTCGCGTTCGTTGAGCGGTGCCGAAACGGAGAAGGAAAGGGAGGAGGAGGCTTGTCGCAACCCCCAGAAGAAAGGGAGAGAGGAAGAAAAAGAAGAAACCAGTCGGTTTCTAGACATTCCGGTTCGATTCGAACCGGTTTGATCTGATTCAACAATTTTGGCTCGATTTTGCTTGAAATTCTCGAGTTTTTCCCACTGGTTTTTCAAAAGTTATTTCGCGTGGTTTTCGAAAATCAATTTGATTTTGCGGGTCCGGTTTTCGATTTATTTTGAATTATTTTAGTTAGGTTCCATAACATTTCCTCCATTTAAATTAATATTAATCATATTGATAGAGTTTTATATTATTTCTCGGGAAATTTAAAGGTTTCTCGAATCGGAATTTCCAAATAGAATATGTTTGGGCTGGGCCCAATTGGCAAATTTGGGCTCAAATAAAATTGTTTGGTATTTACAGAATTGGCAAATTTGGGCTCAAATTAAAATTGTTTGGTATTTACAGCCCATACCGTCAACATTCGGATTTTTGATTTAATAAAAATTCTAAATTTTTGAAAATAAAATTACGGGGTGTTTCAGTTTTATTATTGACAATGCATAAAAGATTTAAAAATTTCTGATCTAATAAAGTTTTTTTTGGCAATAGTAGCACTAAGATATTAATAATTAACGAGTAATCGTTTATATAGTAATTTAAAGTAAATGTGTTCAGACAAAATAATTATTTGATTAGCTGTTGAATATAAAATAATTTAAAAATATTTAATTAATTGTTATTAAATATCAAACATTACGATTAATAATATTTCATGAAACACCAAATAATATAAATATTAAATTATTGTGCTACATTTCTGATACTACTAGATATAGTAGATTCGTAGGATCCACCTTACTTCGAGACCATTACCGTTACGTTACATATAATAGGTTCGTAAAATTTTGTGATGTTATTCCTCTTCCCCTTAACTTCTATTAGAAAAAAGAAAAAAGAAATATTTTTTATTAGGAAAAAAAAAAGATTTATTATTTTTTTTATAGATAATAAGATAAAATAAACCTAAAAATTACACAATCTAGAGTAAAAAACTTAGCTACATCATGAGCAATTTAAGAAGTTAGGAGAATGATCATGAATATGAAAAGTGAAATCAAAAGAAGAAGTAAATCAGTAAGTCAATCTGCATTAAAATTTATCTCTATGAAAACACAATTTTTAATGTAATATATTTTCTGTAATCTGAATTTGATATTGGGATAGTAATTTGATTTCAATGTGCGACATATCATGCTAAATGTGTTGAAAATATTTATGAAGAAAGTAAAAATTTGAAATGAATTATTTGTTTCTATATAATAAGATAAATGAATAATTCCTTTTTAAAAAAAGATAAATGGATAATTCTAACATAAATATTAATACAAAATCACGTTTTGGCATTAACATTTTCTAGCCGGAAATTGAAAATAACGGCACTGCTAACCGAAGTACGGAACCCGCCATTTGTCCACTTTCACTTAATTCCCTTCTTCAGCTCACCATTACATTTGCAGAGACCTTCACACTAATCTGATATTGGCACTGACAGTCCCATAAATTCCCACCTAATTCGCCGTTGTTTCAGTGCAATCCCTAAATGCTCCATTTCTTTAAAATCCTGAAGACTATCTCACTTTGATACTCCCAAAGCAAACATGGCCGCTTACAATCTTGCTTTAGTAATCAAAAACAACTTGAATGAAACCGAATTTCTCCTTGTCAAACAAACCCCTCCTCCTAAATTCGGCCATGAAGAATATGACTCATTCGTTGATTCTGATCTCTGGGACTTGCCATCAACCAAATTGAACCTTCTAGAGGAAGAACTGGTGCCTGGAATTGTAATTGAAGGTGTCGAATCTCTTTTGGAGAAGATCAATTTGAAAAAATACGACACTGATTCGGCTATTAGTAGGGTATTTTAAAGAGTTTAACTCTGTACTTGCTGTGCGTGTTATTATCATTATTATTGTTTTTAATTTTGTCATTGGTTATACGAAGGTATTAGAGCAAGTGGGGATTAAGGCAGTTGATGGAGTAGACTGGAGACTTTTCAAGTTTGTAGAGGAAGCTGAGTTTGGACCAGGATTGCCTGTTCATACGATTTATGTTACGGGAAAGTTGGCAATTGGGAATGAAAGTTTACCAGGTCTGTTTATAGCAAAAAAATGCTAGTGAATTTGTTATAAATGTTTATCTTATTTCACATTGGAAACCAATAAAGGTCCTATTTATGATGATGGTATCACCAAACGATATATTGGAACCATGCCATGTCTTCCTTTTGAAAGGAGGCTATTTCAATATTGTGATTGTCATCACAATATAGACAGGAGGAATCTTGTCCTTATTTTTCAATATATTATTGCAATCACTTTAAAAATATTTGAATTTGTTATTTTAGCTGTTGGTTTAATTCTCCTTCAGAAGGAACATGCAACTAATTTGGAAACAAACATAATTATATATGCAGAAATATGTAAGTGGATGTCTGTCCAGAGCTGTCTAAATGGGCTTCTGGATGTGAAGCCAAGTAGCGATCGTGTGGGACCTTCGGTGGTGCTTGGTGTTATAAATGACTCGACACAATCTCCACAGCCAAAACTTCTTACCATCTTGAAGCACCAGGTTTGCTTGATGTATTTATGGAAGCAGAGGCATAATTTCTGAGATTGGATTGATTTTATATTGCTTATTTATTGTTTTAATTTTTTTGATTTTAATAGTAAATGGAAAAAAAAAGGAAAGTAGAAGAAGAAAAAACAATAGTTTCATTTGGACATTTTTCAATTTCATTCAGTTGATTTCTTCCACATTTTTAGAATTCAGCTATTTCCAAGTAAGTATTTAACAGCAACCTTAAACTGCAGGAGAAAAACATACTTTTAATTTGTTTGATCTTGTCGTATTGAAAATAAAGTGGTTTGCTAAACAATGTTGACCAGTCTATTCTATAGCAATGCTTGATCTGTAAACCTGCCTTTGGTGTGCCTTATTCTGATATTTTCCTCTTTGAACTGGGCAGATATTGTTTAGGAAACAGAATTTAATCGGATGCACCTTGACATTTAACTAATGATTTGACTTTTAGATATCTTTATTTCTGAGCTTTGTTATGAAGATCTGTCCTTCTGAAGAAAATCTCATCTCATATTTGCTGTTGATACATTCATGTTTTAAATGTCAACTGCTCTTTGCAGAAATGACGTTAACTCTCATTTTCAGGAATACCCTCCTGGTGTTATCCTCGTGCCTATGGGAAGTAGGACAGCAAAACCATTCCATACGACAAACTTGGTTGTATTTGCACCTCAAAATGTCTCAAATGAAAGTGGAGATTATAGTCCTGTAGCTTGTGGCAATGCATTGATAGTGGACCCAGGATGTCTTGCTGATTTTCATGGAGAGGTATGTCGGTTCGTTCCTAGAGCACCTCTCCAATGAATAAATGATTTCTGTTCAAGTCACATTTTTCTCAGACATGTTACCGACTGATTTCTCTGAAAATTTAGATACTAATATATCTTTAGATAACACCTTTTTCTTGACATATTATGGTGATTGTATCTAGGATATAAGCTCAATGGAACTGTAAGACTGTAATTGTTAGACCAAAATTTTGCTAGATCCTATTCTGAAATTATGTACCCTTGACCAAACCATTTACTGTAGATTTTCATGATCTCATTTTTGCAAAGGACCTAATAAGAAAATACATCTTTTTTTAATTTTGTAATAGGCATATCATAAAATCAAAATATTTTGCAGGCTATAGTGTGATGTCTGGAAACTAGTTTTTCAGCTCATAGTTATTCCAAACTTATTCTACACTACCCAACTTAGAAAGGGATAAAATGAGAACTTCGCATAGTATTCCAAGCCAGCTTAATTACCATGACGAGGCGGTCATTGTGTGGATCTCTGTTTTCATTTTGTTTATCTTCTTACACAAGGTGTTTATTAATCACTCAAATTTCTTGCAGTGGCTTAATAATTTATTCTTGCTACTCTTATTATTTAATTTTTAAACTTTATCAATGTGTTTTTTTTTATTTGGTCAGCTCTTGAAAATTGTCACTGCTCTGCCCAGAAAGTTGGTCATCTTTATTACCCATCACCATCATGATCATGTTGATGGTAAGACTATTGTAATTATTTTAACTCATGATAAGACTTAGCTGTATTTTTCCCAGCTAAGGTACATGACAATAGTTAGCGCTACAATTCAATAAATGTCTGTCTGTTGCTTGCCCCATTTTGGATCTGGAGCTTAAGTTACCTCCTTTCATTTTCTAATGAGGCCTATTCCACTAAGCTTCAAGGTCACAACCAAATAATACAAGATTTCTTTTGTACAAGTAAGAGAAGGCTTAGTTCGCAAGCATTTTTAGGTTTCTTAGTCTGCTTCTACTTGTAATGGGTCTGGAGTTTCTGTTCTCCTCTATAATATAATTCTTAAAACTTATCTGCTACATGATTAGAAAAATATTGTCCACGGCGCAAGTGTGATTGATGAACAGTACAAGTCCATGAAGTGGTGATATCAAATGCAGGAAAATTGACTTCCTTTAAGATATTTACTTATATAATTGTTTGATTCCAGGTTACATATCTTTATCAAGATCCAAATTTTGTAAGCCATGCATTATCGTACTCATTATAATTTACTAGTTCATGTTTGTTTCAGGTCTTTCTATCATTCAAAAATGCAATCCTGATGCTACTTTATTAGCACATGAAAATACCATGTGGCGCATTGGGAAAGGTTTTAATTATTATCAACTTTGACTTTACCTTTGGCCTCTGATAATAGTGACGAACCATTTTGTGACAACGTTGAAGTGTCATGTCTGTAAGGGTACTCTTTTTTGAATATGTTTTGGAACCAATTCTAATTGTAGATGTTTTATCTTACAAGAAGGCAGACGACAAAAAAAAATATATCTAAAAATCTGCTTGCATGCATGCCTTTTTAATTTTAGCTGGACTTGAGATATTGATAACAATTTTCGCCAGTTGACTGTGACAAATAAAATGAATAAGTAATATGCCCACTACTAGCATTGTTAGTTGGAAGCAATGGAAACTATCCCCCCTTACCATTCACAAGCTAAAATCCAGCTCCATCCCCAGATTGAAGCTTTAAAGATTTACCTCTGTTTTTCCTGATCTTACTCTCTTTTGATTTTCCAATAGAACTACTGGCCAAAATGTCCTATTGGACGTCTTCCAGTATCACGAAAGTTTCACTTTGCTATGCCAGTAATTGGAATTGGCAACTGTCTGAAAAGCTTGACTTGTCTTGTTTCCCTTTCTTTCTCTTTTTTCTACCTCACTAGTGCATTTTTTTTTTCCCAAAAATTTATAAGTGAGAGAGAGGGCTCAGGTTGTTTGTGAGAATAGGGAAGGGGTACGGGTAGGGGTAGAAGGGGAGAGAGATGGAATTCAGGGTTGGAATAGAGAGAGAGAGAGAGAAGGGGGGGGGGGGGGATGGTGGAAAGGAATTAAAAATATTTTTTTATTTGAACCAGCACAGAATTTTCTTTATTTTTTTTATTGGCATTTTGAATCAACTGGTTGAAATTGTTAAGAATGCTTCAAATTAGGCTAAACTTGAAAGAATTTTCTAAAATTGAAAATATACACGCAAATGTTTTGAATTTTTTTGGTCATCAGGCCTATAAAAAATAATTAAATAGTTAATTTTGTTGTCTGAGCATAGAAATTCTTGAATTTACTTCAGCTCAGTTTGTTAAATATAATGTCCTAATTTCATTCATTTTGTGGATGGATTTCATTTGATGGCAGATGATTGGTCTCTTGGCTATACATCAGTTTCTGGCGGGGAAGACATTTGCATTGGTGGTCAAAGGCTGAAAGTCATTTTTGCTCCAGTGAGTCTTGCATTTTTTGTTGTCTTTTTTTTTTTTTTTTTTTTTTTTTTTTTTTTTTTTTTTTTTTTTTTTTTTTTTTTTTTTTTTTTTTTTTTTTTGTATTATGGATACCGTAAGAGATTATTTGGTTGGGAAAAATTATATTTCTTCTTTGGGAAATTTGAGAAAATATTATGCGAGCTGTGAGCATAATATGGTTGAAAATCCTATTGTCTATGTACTGATGAAATAAAAAAGACTTATGGCCTATTAAATTTAATTTGATTAGTCACGTTCGGTGTTTTTCATACATAATTTTATATATGATTTTGCTACTTATCCCTTGAAAAAAAAAAAAAATTTTAACTATGGCTCTAAATATAGTCTTGTCTTTTACCCAGGGGCATACAGATGGCCATGTGGGACTGCTGCATGTCAGTACTCACTCATTGATTGTGGGGGATCATTGCGTGGGGTAAGATTATTTAGAAAACTCACTGCGCGGGCAGACTAAATCATTTGATCAAGAAAATCAATGATGCAAGAATTAGTTATATTTCTATTGTAGGAAACAATAATTATGTGGGGTCAAAGAGACCAGATTTTAATATTTATGTATGAGGGGTGATCCCTGGTGTGGTAGAGTTGTTCTGTTATGACCTAGAGGCCACAGGGTTCGAACCACAAAACAGCCTCCTAGCAATGCATGGGAAATGTGATGTACATTTGACCCTCTTTAGAGCCCACAATGCAGGATGGCTCATGCTGGCACACTTTATGTTATCATGCATCGTTTTTGTTTTGTGTTTGTATATGTGTAAAGCAAATTAATGCAAACCAGGATTCTTAGCATGTGTCTAGCCAGTATAGTCTATAATTATGTGTGAGAAAAAAGTGTGTTTTACTGATCTTTGATTTACATGATAAATAAGCAAACAGCCATGAACAATTCCTTTGAAGACTTGTGAAACCCAAATTTGTGATGATATTTATTCACAAGACTTGAAAGGATTTGGGTACCTCAAGTGTCAGAGTACGCTTCTCCTTTTTTGTTTCAGGTTTCAAGTCCCATTTATTGTTTGTGTACATAAGCAAAGCATAAAATTCAGGTTATGCAGAAGGGAATGTGTCCTATGTCAACATCACATCTTTTTGTGTTACATGGCTTATAATTTGATCCTGATATGGCATACACATCATGATTTATTTATTAATGCAATTAGAAGTCCTATGATTCGATTCTGATGTGAAATATAAAGCATGCTTTATTTGCTAATGAATTAAATTGCAAAAATATATGTGACAAATAGTTGAGATGATGTCATATTTGGAATGGGTTTAACCAAACTTTTCTTACCTTCTCTCCCAATCCCTTTGAAAAATTGGCTAACTTTTTAGTTTTTGTTATCAGTCCTTTCCTCTTATAATCCAGGGATTGCATTCCTAATGTATTTATTGGTTTGTTGAAGTTAAGGAAGTGTTGTCCTGGATGTTACTTCTGGTGGGAATATGGCTGTAAGTAGATAAAAAAGGCCTAATGATATTATGTTATTATGTGTCCTGGATGTTACTTCTGGTGGGAATATGGCTGTAAGTAGATAAAAAAGGCCTAATGATATTATGTTATTATGTTATTCTTTTGTATGCAAAATGCTAGCAAGAATCATTTCCTATGCTATCTTTTGTATTATTATAGGTTGCAAATTTTCTTTCTTATAAAATGGCATTTGACAAAAGAATGACTATTAGATTTAGACTTTTTTATATTTTCTGAAGACAGAAGCAGATTACATTATTAAATTTAGTTGGAAAGGATGAGGAATTGTGGATGTGATTTGACATAGAGAATAATTACATTCTGTGTCGGGTGGAGGTCAGAATAGGAATGGAATTCTAGGCCTTCTAGAGCAGGAGGGTAGTTGGGGTGGCACTACCTTTTGAAAAGAAGACATTAGAAATCATTTTTCTGAAAGTTTATCATATTGCTGTCAGCAAGGGTTATGTTGTGGATTTAGAATCTCATAGCACCAAGTAGAAATATCCCGCAGTACCTCTAAGTTCATCCAGTGTGTTAGTACACCTACTGAAGTTGGGGGAAAAGGAAAGTCTTAACTTCATGTCTGTAGATAAGTCGGGTCTATGAATGTCTATTTTAGCTTGGCTGCAGTTGTAATTGTAATTGTAAACCCCTTCATTTCATAAGAACTGCAGTAGTTGCTCTAGAAATCATATAGGATTGCATAATGAAAAATAAAACTAAATAAAAAAATTATCAAAGAATTAATATCATTTGAATTCATTTGTATTTATATTCAATTTATCCTCCACCATCTCAGAAGTTTGTGAAAGTTTTATTGTTTATGCAGGATTACTTCCAGTCAACATACAAATTTATTGAGGTTGCACCGCATGTTTTGATCCCAATGCATGGGAGAGTCAATCTGTGGCCCAAGAACATGCTTTGTGCATATCTCAAGTAAGGAAAAATTGCTTTCTTTCTTCTATGAAACTAAATGGATCCTGCTTTTGGCTGGACATGTATTGAGATTCACCAATCATAAGATTTTGGAACTTAGTCTTTGTCAAGCATTTTTTTTTTGCCAATAAATTTTCTGGCTGGACCTTTTTTTCCAAAAAATAATACATTTATCAAGTTTGGGCTAGTCGTGCAAGCTTATACAAGAGATGGACGTGAATCTGTGCAATCATTTGTGGTTCACTGCTGTGTGACTGGGCTAATAGTCTTATTATTTTACTAACTGTGTCTCTAACTCACTGAATCACACTGCATGTATTAACATGATTATCAATTACTTGATGCTGATACTGGAATTTTATCTATCACAGGAACCGCAGAAGTAGAGAAGCAGCTATCCTGAAAGCTATAGAAAATGGAGCAAAGACCTTAATTGACATAGTTGCCAGTGTTTATTTTGAGGTTGATCGCAGGGCTTGGATTGCTGCTGCATCAAATGTGCGGCTTCATATGGATCATTTGGTGCAGCAAAATAAGTTACCAAAGGTAGTATCTGGTATTTTTTTATGTTACAGTTTTTCTTCTAGCAAATAACAAGTTTTGTCTGAAAGCATACAGCTTGTTCAATGCTTTTGACTGGTTAATTTATTTATTGGTTACTAGTACCAGCTCTTTCAAAAGAAGTCACTTATGTAGGAAAAGTAGAGGTGGGTTTGCATAGGAAATATCCAAATGATTTTTGCAACCTGTCCCACTCAATGTCAGGGAGAAAGACACACTGTTGGTTTTGGGGAGTTGGGGCTGGGGGGTGTTTCTGTGGTTAAAAAAGAAGGTCATGAGCTGTGACCTTGGATTACTATATCGAACATAATTTAAGCAATAATTAGGCCTATAATATTCTGATACAATTATAACCCTAGAGAAAAGTATTTGTCCCTTTTCCTGCTTTATCACTGGATTTTACGTGCATGGGGCAAATGTTATTCAATGAAACATGTCTCTTTATGTTTTGTCCCTTCAGCTTCTAAATTCAACATTACATGGGGCCACCTTAGCGTACATTTATTACCTCAGTTTCCTACTATTATCATGTATGTAGAGTATAATATAAATATTTTGCGTGAAATGCTCCTGGACCATATAATCACAGCAATTTCTTGTGTTGGACAATTTGGTGAAACAATTACTGTATAGAATAATGATGTTGAGGCTGTTTCAATTTCCAAAGTTACTAACTTAAATGAGTACATGTTTCAAGCATTCATATGCCAATGACATATTCCTCTTTTTCTGCAACAATTCTTCTGAGAGAGCGCAGGGCTTTTCATTAGATACTTACAACTGCAGCGTGGTTTCATTTGTTGATGACTTGGGTAAATTTCAGCCCAAGTAAGGAAAACTGCTGTTCCTGTTCAGCACGTTTCCTAGGTTGGATTACTTCCCTAATTTTCCTTACTTATCAACCATATAGACCATAAATTTCCATGCAATTATTTTCACACCTATACTAATTTCACTTCCTGCAAGCAAAATATTGATATGAATTGTAGAGTATATATATACACTCTGACTGTGGGATTTATGACTAGTGCAATGTATTCTGCAGGACTTTTCAGTTCAGAAATTCCAAAGAACTTGTGGTCTGCATTTTTTGGCCAGATGGGCGTGGGCATACCTAACTAGCAGGTTTCTGTCAAGGTTTAAGAAGTTAAGCACACTTAAATTACTTATTGCTGGATCAGTGGCTAGCTTTGCTGTGCTGTACTCGGTTAAATACAAAACCTAATTAGGATTGAGACAGGTAGAGGCCAATTGGTCAGGTTTATTGCAATCCTAAATGCAATATAACATTCATGTAAGCATTCTACAATAGTAAATGGTTGTCAATATTTTCTTTACAGAATATAAATAAGGACTTTGGTCATTCACGAATTTTATAGTCTCATCGTGGATAGTTTGCCTTTGATCCAACTAGAGTGGTAAACTTACCCAGAAAATGCAGAGAACGCCCATAAGAAATTAGAGGAGGATTATTACCAAATTTGACTGAATTTTCACATTAAACACAACAATTATAAAAAGTTTTACTATGCTTGCAAAATTATTTATTAATGTTTAAATAAACAGTAAATTCAAGATGGATACTAGTTTTTATGGCAAGGATGCCAATTACATAATAGAAAGGATTTTGTAACTAAACTATAAAATTATTTACCCTGTACTTTATTTACTCACTGGTGTGGTGTCCGGAGCAAGAAACTCATGACTTTTACTAGCTTTTCTTTTACTGGGTAACGTTCCATGCAAATAGCAGTAATATATGTAACTTGTGATTAATTATTTCTAACAAAACCTAATCACAGCTGATAATCACACTATTAATCCTCCTCATCCTGGCACTTCTCATGTGCTTACCCTTTTCTTTACCATAATTACTCTTTGGGTTCTTGGCTTTAAAATCCCCAGTTTGTCTGAATGAAACAGCACTTTTTTTCTCGCTTGTAAAATATTACAAGGTAGTGAAGGAAGATGAAACAGTGCAAGATTGTCGCGTTCGTAAAAGATGCCAAATGTAGTCTTCGTGTCACAATTACATTAGTACTATGTTTATCAATGGCATCATTTGTGGCAATTCTTGGAATGTTTGTTAATATTCATTTCAAGAAATATATGGTTACAGAAGATTCATATCTTCCTCAACTGGACACATTTGCTCCTCTAGCATCTTGGTCACCATTCTCATATTCTATCTGCAACTCATCTTTATCTCCATCAATCCAATTTCCAGTAAAAAGTGGAAGTTTAAGAGACTGGATTGCTCCTATGGAGATATGGCATTCAATGAAAGATAAAGAGCTGCTTTGGCGTGCATCAATGGTGCCAAGAATTGATGAATACCCTTATAATCGTACATCAAAGGTTGCATTTATGTTTTTGACAAAGGGAAGTTTGCCTCTAGCACCACTCTGGGAGAGGTTCTTCAAAGGACAAGAAGGTCTCTACTCAATTTATGTTCATACATCACCAGAATTCACTTTTGAACCATCACAGTCATCGGTTTTCCATAACCGCAGGATACCAAGCCAGGTCAGAAATTTGCTTCTTCTTTCTTTTATTTTTCCTAAAGAGTTAGTAAGCTCTTGCATATAGACAAACCTATTTTCTATAATTAGGTCAAAGAGATTATTTAGGCAAATTCTGATTGTTTAAACAGATTATTTTTATAATTCTAAAATATAATTGTAAAAAAAGAAACATATAAAGAAATGTCATATAAAATAATTCTTGATCATATAAAGAAACAGATTATTTTCTCTAATTCTCTAATATAATTCTTGATCATATAAAAATAAGAAGCATTCAACTTTTAATTAAAAATTTTTTGAACGGCTATACATTTTTTTGTCTTCTGAATTCAGTTAATTAAACAACTAATCCCATTTTTTGTCATTTTAGATTAAACAACCAATTAAACAATTATTTTTACCAAAAATTTCTAATTTAAACCCATAATTAAACAGTTACCAGTTAATAGAACAACTAAAATACACTGCATTATTTCATCGATTTAATATTTTTAACCATATGAACTTTTCATATATGGATATTGAGTTTATTGCAGCAAGTTGAATGGGGAAAAGCAACAATGGTAGATGCTGAAAGACGATTATTAGCCAATGCTCTGTTAGACTTCTCAAATGAAAGATTTGTACTACTATCTGAGACATGTATTCCTATCTTCAATTTTACCACAATCTACAATTACCTAATCAACTCCAACCAAAGCTTCCTAGCCTCATATGATGATCCAAGTCGTGCTGGCCGTGGCCGCTACAACAAGCGGCTGTGGCCAACCGTGACATTGTCCGATTGGCGTAAAGGTTCCCAATGGTTTGAAATTCACCGGAAGCTCACTGGAAAGATAGTGTCCGATGTGAAATACTATCCTATTTTTAGAGACTATTGCAAGCCTCCATGTTATATGGATGAACATTACTTCCCAACTCTTGTGACCAAAATTTGTCCTGAATTGAACTCAAATAGGAGCATTACTTGGGTTGATTGGTCTTTAGGGGGGCCTCACCCTAGAAATTATGTGAAAAAGGATGTGTCTGAAGCATTTTTGAATTGGATTAGGAATGGGTTTAACTGTAGCTATAATGGGGCCATGACCACAGTTTGCTTCCTTTTTGCAAGAAAATTTCACTCTAGTGCTCTTCAGCCCTTGCTAAGGATAGCTCCAGCATTGCTTGGTTTCAGCTCTTAGGGCATTTTTTATTGGTTTTATTATTACAATAACATTATAATATTTGTTCTAATAATATCGTAGCTAGTGTATAATTTTATATTAATCAAGGAAATCAACTCCTAAAATCAATAAATACAATTTTAGTGGAGAGAAAATTTCAGAATTTTCATATTGTAGGATTACACTATATTTGGAAATTAATCTTATTTTACAGATGGATTAAGGTTCAATTTTTCACAAAACTGCCTTTTTTTATTGATTTAGATTTTAGATTCAATGCATGATAATAATTTCTTTAAAAAAATAAGTGGAGTTGAACAATTAAAGAAATTAATTTTTTTTATACTCTTTAACTAGTTCAAGAGATTGATCCACTAATTTCTAATTATATCAGCTATCATAACATAATTAATAATTAGGCTCTCTCAATTTCAAGTAAGTAAAAATACAAACAATAAACTAGCTACAATTCATATTTGGATCGTGTTCGGCAATAACTTTTTAAGTAGTTTTTAGCGTTTTAACCAGTTCAAAATGCTAAATATTATTTTTTATAGTGTTCGATAATATTACATTTGAATTAATCTTTTAGAGGTTAAGATAGTATTTTACCGAATAGAGCTTTAACGTAGACAAATAACCAAAAGGAACGGTGAAAATGAGAGGAGAAAAAAGAGGGGAGCGAAGGACCAAATTCCAGCTATCCCAAATCCTCTTTTCTTCCTTTAAAAGAAGCTGAAAAGATATTATAAGTGAAACTGTTTTAATTAAACATAATGTTCATTTGAATATATGGAAAATATCTTTTGAAAAAAATATGGAAAATAAATCCCATTTTACGTTAGATGCAGTTACGTCTACCAAGCAATTAGTTAGGGGGAAAAAAAAAAAAAGAAAAGAAAAGAGAAGAGAACATAACTGGCCTTTGATTAGATAGTGGACAAAGAAGCAAAGAGTTAGAAGTTTGCCCCATCTTTTGGGACAAATTAATTGGAGTAATTTCTAGAAAAATCCGATTTTTCAAATTCCGACAGTTACTCCGACATTTCTGGAAACCACAATTACGTTTACTTTCATGGAAATTTCTTAATTTCTCAATTTTCCATAATCATTTCTTAATTATTCATATTTTTTACAGTGTGGCCTTTTTTTTTTTTTTTTTTTTTTTACAGTGTGGGGCTTTTTTTTTTTTTTTTTTTTTTTTCTGGTTGGGTACCAGACTTAGCCTCGGAAAGGGTCAGTCTTAGAAATTTATAAAAATTATTTGTAACCATTAATATAATAAAAATTATGTTTTCCTCTTAAAAATTTAAAAAATTTTATTTTTTCAGTCCACTCTTCCAGTTAAGTAAATAGAAATGAATTGAATCACCCTCGACTAGATCGACTAGGTGTAAGCAATCATCGATTTCAAACTAAAAATCAAATCAAATTGATTTATTTCAGTTAGATCCCATAAAGATATTTTAAAAATTCGTTTGATTTTCGATTTTGGGTTCAGTTACCATATATCACTAATTGAATTTATTTTTATGTCCCAAACAGCTTATTTGATTCGGACTATTTTAATTCCTTCTTTATATTATTCTTTTGAACTCTATTACTATAAAAATACTTTCAATTAAATTAAAATTTAGATTTTTCAATTTGATTCGTTGGATTAAGTGAGTACCCCTATCCCGGGGCTGGGGAGAACTATGAAAACGAAGAAAGAAATATAAAAAATATATATATATTTTCTTGGCTTTAAACCGTGTGTGCCAATGAGGATTCTTCTGTTTCGTTTCATCCAGAAAAGGAATGGAGCAAGTCGACACGTAAAGCATTGGTCCACTCATGTCTTTTTCCCATTTTAGAATTCCTTTCTTTCATGCAAAGCTAGTATTAACTGGCGGCTTCATTTCTTTCTTTATTACCACTTCTTACCATTTTTATTCAAAGTCCATTTAGTCAGCCCACAGCTGAATACATATGGCTGCTTTTGTCCACAGAATTGCTACTTCCAGTTTATTATTTATTTTTGTTAATATTTTTTTTTTGACATATTTAAAGTGGAAAAAACTACACCAAAGTTCTGTTTGGTGAGCCATTGAAGAAATATAAGAAAATATAATCAAGAGTCTATTAATCAAAATTATTTATTTTAATAACTGTCAGTTAAGATAATAGCGATTCATAATCCACTTCTCTGAATTTTAAATACTCCTATATAATAATAAAAATTGTGTTTTAACCTTTGTCAAAATACAACACATTACCTCAAGAGATGTTGTCAAATAGGGTGTAGATGTATTTTCAATTTAAATATTATACTAAGAAAATAAATTTGATTATATTATATTATATTTCATTGCGATTCATTATATAGAACTCATAAATTATATATGTGAAATTTTTTCTTGAAAAAATTTAATTTAAAAGAAATAATATTATGCATAATAATTAATATAAGTCTTATCTAGAAAACTACCAATTCAAACTAATTAATGTATATGAAAAATTTTTGGTTAATGGCTTAAAGTAAGGGTGCAACTAGGAAATCGATAATTGTTTGTTTGTTTGTATGTTTTTGAAGTCTTTGAAAATGTTGCAGAAAAGAAGAAAAGTCTCTGGTTCTAAAAAGCTATCAACACATGCTTTTTTTTTTTTTTTATCTTCTCCAATCTTATTATTATACACACAAGTATTTCCATATCTCTCTCCTTTCTCTCTTTCTGTCAAGTACATAATTAAATTTCTTTCTTCTTTGATCTCACCTCATCACCATCAATTCTTTCTTGATCATCATTTCCTTCTTTTTCTCAATCATGATTATTTTGCGAGATTTCATTCATATGATTCTCTGTATTCTCAAAATTACTTCTAATGTCATAAATTTTATTACTCTTTAGTAAATACTTTCCTTTATTAACTAATATACACCTAACCTTTAGCGGTTCCTCACATTCTTTTTTTATAACTGACATCTCTTCAGCTTAAAGAAAAGAACAAGAAAGCCAAAAACCCTTTTCATTCTTTAAAAAAACTTTTCTTGAAACATCAAAATCCAAAAGACATGAAGACTCAAAAAAAGAATACCCAAATGCAACTCATAAATCTTATTTCTTTTTTCTTCTTATTCTGTTGTGGTCTGGCCACAGGCATAATCCTCAGTTCATATCTCAAAAACATATCATTCAATTTACTCATAACTCAGTTCTCTCTTTCTGCTACTACTGCTCCAGAAACACCACAAACACCTCCGCTGGACACGGCTGCAAAGCCACGTGTAGGGTTGAAGGAGTATTTGAAGGTTTCTGAAAATGCTATGCATGATATGGAAGATGAGGAATTACTGTGGAGAGCTTCATTGAGTCCAAGAATTAGTCAATATCCATTTGATAGAGTTCCTAAAGTTGCTTTCTTGTTCTTGACGAAAGGTCCAGTTTTAATGGCTCCTTTGTGGGAGAAATTCTTTAAAGGACATGAAGGGTTGTATACAATTTATGTGCATTCAAATCCTTCGTACAATGAATCATTTCCTGAAAGTCCAGTTTTTCATGGCAGAAGAATTCCCAGTAAGGTTAGTTTATCAATCTCATTTTTGTGTTAGCCGTAATTAAGGTTAATTTAATTGTAATTATTATCCAATTTCAGTTAATTAGACTCGGTCCGATGATGGGGGTTGAACTTGACATCTTATTGTCGCAGGCAGAGGCAATTGGATTATCAAAACTCATCTATAATTTATCGTAGTTAGTGAAGCTCATGTGATAGTATTATATAACTTAGGTAGAAAATTTTGCGTTTTGAGATAATTAATTAATTATAGCAATTTAAATAATTTCTTAAAAGAATATAATCTGTCTGTGATAAATATTATAAATATATATTGCTGCATGTGTCAATCTCCCAATCAGTCCTGGAAATTAGCTTTTCATCACAATCATCACATTAATATGTTAAAATGTAAGTCACAAAGAAAAAGGACCAATTATTCAATTTGATTAATTAAATAAGAATTGAGAATTAATGTAATATGGAATTAATATTTTTTTTAGAAAATGAATCCAATTGGTAAATTAGTTAATTAGCATTTGCATAATGAAAAGACTTAATATATGTTAGGTAGAAGTCATGTGTACTTTGATTCAAGAGGATTTTGATGATGAATGAAACTTATCTAGAAACTTTCTATGGTTGTGCAAAATCACTGGCCGAGACTGACTCATTTCGATTCGGTTATGTCACCTATTTGAAGGAAGTTTGGTTTGTTGGTTTATATGGTTTGAACTGAATTTATTATTTGGGCTTAAAATCAAACCGACATGCAAAAACTGATTGATTTGATTTGAGTCAATTTAGTGCAGATGCCAATTCCAAGTTGATTTGTTTTGTTTCAATTTGAACTGCTTGCTCATCCTATAACCGTCTCTACATGTCTACCCAAAATAGAGATTTTTTAAATATTATTTCTATTTTATCCATTTTTTCTTTAGCCAAGAATATCCTCATTTTAAAGAAAGAAAAAAAAAAAATCATCATGTGATATATACATGTGACTGGTTCTATGCAAGTCATTCTGATTGATGAAAAGTAAGCAAGAAAAACCCATGTGTTATATCTTATTTTCTAAAAGGAAATGTCAAGGCATTAATGGTGGTAGTTTTATGAGGACCCAAACCACGGTACGACTTATCATTCACGGCAGCATAACCCAGTGGCCTTGTTTTCAGTTCGGTCGGTGATTTTGCATAACCCCAGTGGCCTTTTATATCTTATTTCAGATTTATGTTTTCTCGCTACTGTCCAGAATGTAAATGTGTTCAAAATCAATTTTCACCAATCTTTTATTTCTTATTCTTTGAAGTTAATATTGATATGATTATGCATAATGCAGGATGTTAAATGGGGAAACGTGAATATGATAGAAGCAGAGAGACGTCTATTAGCTAATGCACTTCTTGATATATCAAACCAACGTTTTGTTCTTCTTTCTGAGGCATGCATTCCTCTGTTTAACTTCTCCACTATCTACTCCTACTTAATAAACTCCACCAAAAATTTTGTTGAGGCGTATGACTTAGAAGGTCCGGTTGGCCGCGGCCGATATAATCACCAAATGAGCCCTCAAATCACCATTGATCAATGGCGTAAAGGCTCGCAATGGTTCGAAATGGACCGACAACTCGCCATCGAAGTTGTATCAGACCAAAAATATTTTCCTATTTTCCAAAAGTACTGCAAAGGAAATTGTTATGCAGATGAACATTATTTACCAACATTTGTGAGCATGAAACATTGGCAGAGGAATTCAAATAGGAGTTTAACTTGGGTTGACTGGTCGCGAGGCGGTCCCCATCCAACTCGGTTTATAAGAACAGAGGTGACAGTTGAGTTCTTGGAGAAACTGAGGAGTGGGAGCAAATGTTTGTATAATGGAAAAAGCAGCAGCATTTGTTTCTTGTTTGCGAGGAAATTCTTGCCTACTGCTTTGGATAGGCTGTTGAGATTTGCACCTAAAGCCATGCATTTCAATAAATAAAGATTGGAAGAGAGAAAGAGGGAGACGGGGGAAGATAGTGAATTCTTTATTCTTTAAATTGTAAAAAAAAAAAAAAAAAAAAAAAGAGAGAAAGAGGGAGACGGGGGAAGAATAGTGAATTTTTATTCTTTAAATGTAAAAAAAAAAAAAAAAAAAAAAAAGTGCAGAGGTAAAAAAAAAAAAAAAAAAAAAAAAAAGTGCAGAGGTAAAGAATCAATTGCCCTAAAAGCTATAAGGGTTTTGCGATGTTAATTTATTTTTGGTTTAATATAATCATGAAAAATATTAATTTGTCCTTTCATTTCTTCTTTGGCAAGTGAACTCAGAAGGAGCTCTAGCTCTCTCTCACTTTTGTATATGAGAATTTATAGTTTAGTATGTTATAGTACACAATATACAGGAGAGCTTATATATATATAATTAATTGTTAAACTACTCATTTTAATTATTATATGTGATTTAATGTAGACGTTGGAACGTCAATTATGAAATTAAATACGTTATTATATTATATATATACATAAATTATGAATCAAAAGCTTCATAATTCTCTGTCAATATTTTAATTGAGAGAAAAAGAACTAAAAGCAAGAAATATATCCTTTCATTTCACGAAAACCCTAAAGTGCAATCTCATCCTTCAAGTTTTTCACTTTAATTTCTTGGCAAACTGAATTCTCTCCAATGGGGAAATGTGAAGATGATAGAAGCAGAGAGACGTCTATTAGCTAATGCACTTCTTGATATATCAAACCGAAGTTCCGTTCTTCTTCAGAGACATGCATTCCTCTTCTTTAACTTCTCCACCGTATCTGCTGTTTCATTTTTTTAAGGGTATGACTAATTCAATTTCCTACTTTTTCTTGTAAACTTCTATATGATTCTGTATAATATTAAATCACAGAATAAGAAAAGTCAAGTTTCTTTTATTCTCATATTAATTTGTTTCTTGTTTGCAACAAAATTCTTGCCTAATGCTTTGTATAAGTTGTTGAGGTTTGGAACTCAAATCATGCATTTCATTATACAAGATTGAGGAGTGGGAAAATAAAAATGTGAACTTTGTTCTTTAATGGAAAATTTACTATTTTATCCTTATATTTTGTTAAAATATAAGACTTTACCATTTTATTTTCAAAATACATAGTGTTATCTTTATTTTTTATCTCTATCGATAACGCTGTTCTATCATTTTATTAATTTTTTAACTTTTCCGTCGAATACAGGAATATAAAATAGTGATTTTTTAACGGAAAAAGATAAAAAGAATTGAATATAATAGTGTAAAATATAAGGATAAAATTATGTATTTAAAAAAAAAAATAAAAATCAACTCCATGATAGTTAGAATGGTTCAATGTTTTTTTTTTTTGGGTTCAATATAAACATAAAAAATGTTAATTTCTCCATCAATTTCTTCTTTGGTCAGTGAACTAGTACTGTTATTTTACTACATGCAAGAATTATTAGCATGACAAGCTTTCTCTTCTTAATTAAATTCTTTCTCATCATTTTATTCATTGCAATTTCTATACATAAATTGTTATAAATACTACTCATTTGAATTTGACATAATGGTTTAGTGTAAAACTTCATAATATTCCATTCCGTGGATGTGATGTTTAAGCAAAACATCAACTATGAAACAGATGTCATTCGCCAGCTTTAGAAATTCTCTGCCAATATTTTAATTCAGCGATAAAAGGAATTACAAGCAACGGCTATATCATTTCATTTCATTTAAACCTAAAATTGCTCATTAAGAACAAAAAAAAAAAAAAAAATCATAGAACAAAAAAAAAAAAAAAGAGAGAGAAAAAAAAAGAAAAAAAAAAAAAAAAAGAGAGAGAAAAAAAAAGAAAAAAGAGAGAAAATAAATAAAGAAACTGTGGTTAAAGTTAAAGATCTCATCAAATAATAAAGCAGGAAACAGTAAATCCCACCTTCATTTACACCAAATCTCAACAGTTTATAATTAAATAAACTCCACGTCTTCACTGGCTAGCTCCACACGTGTCTTCCGACATACAAGGCGAATCCGACACCGAGTCAAAGGTCTCATGACACGGCGACACTTCGACCCCACGTATGTCCTCAATCATCTTCACTACGTGGTTCATCCTTGGCCGTTGATCAGGCGGAGGAGATGTACAAGTCATTGCAATTTGCAGCAACGCCACCATCTCCTCTTCAATGTCCTTATACCTCATTAGCTCCAAATCAAACACCTCGGCCGTCCATTCTTCCCTCACCACAGACTGGACCCACCTAGGCAAGTCCACGACCCCACCATATCCACTTCCGGTCCCACCACAGTCAACTATAGAAGGGCATTTCCCCGTTAACAACTCCAACAACAGGACTCCAAAAGAGTACACGTCGGACTTCTGGGTTGGTTTCCGACCGTCGGGTGATAATTCAGGAGCTCGGTAGCCGTTAGATCTTGGGGCGGAGGCGGTTGGAGATGCAAAGAGAGAGAGGCCAAAGTCGGAGACACGTGCATTGCCGGATTTGTCAAGGAGGATGTTTGTAGATTTGATGTTACCATGGGTGAGTTTAAGTGACTTGCATGAATTGTGGATAAAAGCTAGCCCCCGGGCTGCTCCTGCTGCTATCTTCAGCCTTGTGGTCCAATCTAGTGGAGTTCTTCCTGGTCCTCTGTTACCTGTCGGAATTTTAGGACAACTAAATTAAGCCATCTATTTTCAGAAATATTACTAGTTTGACACTGGACAGCGGACTCCAGAAAGACAAAAAATCAACATCAGTGTATCTGAAAATTGGACTCATCTTTAGCCATAATGGTGCGGCCCATATAATCTGAGCCGCATCCAGCCAAGAGCCCGTAGCCTTTTTTTTTTCTTTTCTTTTCATTTTTCAAAAAGTTTATTTAATTATATATATATGTTTATTTAATATATATATATATATTATATATATATATATATATCATAAATATATATATTTTTTAATTTTTTTATCATAAGTTAATTAAAGTAGTTTCCTAATAAATAAGACATGGGGGAAATATATATATCAAAAATATATATATTTTTTAATTTTTTTATCATAGTTTTATAAAGTAGTTTCCTAATAAATAAGACATGGGGAACTCACTTTAATTTTTTGGTGGCATATTTTGGGTGGAAAAGAGTTGAGACCAAAATACGGTAAAGAACAAAAAGAAAAAGGCGATAAAAACAGGATTAGCTGTTGGATGTTTGTGTATCTAAAGAAGTGTGTCCCAATTCCCAAATATTGTAACTGAGTTGCAGATTACTGTCACCTAGCATAACTGTCCCTTTTTCTGTAATTGGTTCAAAATGGACAAAACCAAAAACTGTGGACCCTTACAATCTCCAATATACAGTAGCCTGGAGCCAAACACATCCTCTCTCCCCCAGGCCTCAGGTGTAAGCCAGCTCAGCAACTCTTTCGATTACTTTTTCTACTTATTATTCATCAAAATTACTCTTAAGTAGTATTACTATTTAATCCCTCAACTATTATCAAATTAAAAATGATATATTTTCATGTAAAAAAAAATGATATATTTAAACTGAAAAATTAATTAAAATAATTTAATGGAGCTACATTTCATTGACAAATCAATAATGTTACTAAAAAAAATAAAACTATGATACTAATTCAGTCAAAAATAGTTCAGAAAATTCTCGCCGGACCCACCAATCTTACCTACTGATGTGTATACATGTCCCACATGTGCACCCCGCCGGCGGCAAACCACTCCCGCCCACTAGGCCATGATCCCAAAATTATTTACACCCTTTTTTCTAGTCTAGAATCTTTAAAGCAAGTTCTTTAACTAAATAATCAATGATGCTAAAAAGAACATAAATCAATTACTATTATACTGTGCATGTGTTTGGCTGTTAAGAAAATGCAAGAAAATCTCTTTTTTGTTTTTTTACTAACTAGACAGAAAATTAGAAGTAAATAAATTAAATTTAAAAACGTACCGTGGAGCAGCCAAAACAAGCTACAATTAGGCATGTAATCATAGACCAAAAGCTTTTCTTCTCTTGCAAAATAATAAGCTTTCAAGCTAACCAAATTAGGATGTCTCAATCTTCCAAGAACTTCCATCTGCTGCTCAAACTCTCTTTTCCCTCCTATATTTGCATCTTTTAGTCTTTTTACCGCCACCACATTTCCGTCGTCCAGAACCGCTTTGTACGCCGTTCCAAACCCACCTTTTCCTAACATCTCTGCCGACGCTCTTAGCAAATCTTCTAATTCGAACCTCTTTACCCCTTCGAAAAAGACCATTTTACCCCTCTCGAAACCCGGTTGGTTTGGATAAGGGCTTGAAGAGTAAACGATTTTCTCCGTTTCTAAAAGCTTCGACCCCTTCCCGTCTCGCATTTTGGCTGCGTAGTTTCTCCAGAAATAACAGTAGAGGAGAAGAGAGACAATGGATAATACTAAGACGTCGCCTAGTATAATGGCGATTAGTGCTAATGGGCTTATTTTGGCTGTTTTGTTGTGGGTGGTGGTGGTGGTTGCAGCGGCTGCTGCTTTGTTCGGCGGTATTGAGCTTGGAGATGATGATACTACGGTCGTTGGGTTACTTCCTGGTAGAACTGGAGAGGCAATAGCTCCGGTGGATCCCGGTTTTGTCGGGTCCGATAAAATATCTTTACAGGTCTGCATTGGGGATCCGCAAAGACCAGAGTTTTGAACAAAAGAGGATGCAGGGAAACCCGATAATGATCTGGGTATTTGACCCGAAAGTTGGTTACCGGAAACATTAAAATCCTGCAAAGTAGGGACATTTAAACCGGTAATGGAGCCGGTAAACCGGTTCTCTTCAAGTCGAAGAGTCAACAAGTGGGTCAAACGGTTGAGTGTGTCCGGAATATTACCAGAAAAGTTATTGTAAGATAGATCCAAACGGTAAAGTCGAAAGAGAGATACCACAGACAGTGGGAAATTACCGGAGAAGTTATTGTGAGATAGAAATAGAAGTTTCAAAGCTGTGAGGTTAGATAGGTCCGGTAGCTGACCTGAAAAGCCGTTTCCTTTAAGACTAAGTACTCGAAGCTGAGTAAGAGATGTTAGAGGTTGAAAAGAGCCATGGAGATCAAGATTTTCAAGAACAAGACGCGAAACTCTGTTTTTGATGCAGAAAACACCATTCCAGGTGCATGGGTCAGTAGTCTTATTCCAATCGGTAAGCTTGTTGGCTATGTCGGATTCGGCCTTGAACTTCATTAGATGTTCTAAATCTGGGGTTGTAGAAGCTCTGGTAAGATAGAAACAAAGAAAAAAGAAGAAAAAAGTGAAATGTAGGGTTAGACAAGTGGGTTTCCCCATTGTTGATCTGTAATGGTAGAGAGAGAAGAAGAAGGTGAAGGGGTTGGAGGAGCGCTAAGCTTGTGAGTGAGCTTAAAGAATAGAGAGCGGTGGTACTAGTGGGGTTGTAACTCGTAGGAGGAAATGAAGGAAGGATAAAAAGGGCGTAATTAATGAGAAAATGAAGGGGCTTTGTGGTAATAAATGATGAATAATTGTGATTGAGGTGGATAGAACAAACTGGGTGAAGTGAAAAGCATGTAACGTCAACTTATGTACTGTGAATTTATTTTTTAATTTTAACTGAATAGACTACACATTCCATGGTGTAACCTTTTTTGTTTTTGGTACAAAATTAGGGAAAATATTTATTTCGTCGTGAGGTTTTATAAAATTATTCAAATTGTTCCTATATTTTTGTCTACTTTGTTTTCCAGATTTGATTTTATTTCGTTGAATAGTCCTTTTGTCTAAAAACACAGATAAAAGTAAAAAATTTAAAGGACTGAATTTACGTGAGTTAGACTTAATATAGACTTACTTAGATTTTAGTATCGATTTGATCTATGATTTTAAATCGTGACAGTAATTCTCTTCTTGATTAGTCAAATTGGTGAAAATAAATGTAGTGGATAGGACTCGAACTTGAGACTTTTCTCTTTTTACTTATTATATCCAAGCCAAAAAAAGATATTTCAACTTCAACACCTTTTTTTACTAGGTAATTTGCAAAATGATTGGTATTTTTATTAACATGCCTGAATTCAATATCACTTAATGAGAGATGTTCAATCAAATTTTTCAAAATTTTTCTACCACTTTTCATGGGTATTTCTGCTTTTAAAGAATCCAACACAAAGCATTTATTGAATTTGATTCAATCACCAAACTTTTTAATTTGTAATTTGATTCCCAAAAAAAATTTCTAAATCAAAATTAAACAACATTGAATAAGCTATAAAAATTACACCATTCAAATCAATTTAATTTATTTTTAGCTATTTTTTATATTTTTGATTTATTATTTAGATTTTTATGAAATTAAACTCAACCGAAAATAAATTGTAATTTTTTATATAAAAATTATATTAAACCATATATTTTAAAAAGCAAATCAAATTGAATCAAACCGATTTGATTCCATCGGTTTAGACAAAATATGCTATGTAGGAAGTTGTATTACATTATGTTTGTAGAAAAGGGGAGTGCAGTATCGTGTTATGGTATGTTAAGCAAAAGCAATGGTAATAAAGAGCATTGATTTTGTCTATAATAGGAATAAAACTCCGTACTTGTATGATTTTCTGACACGCATGCCTTTCACTTCTTTTTTACCATTTATCCCCTCACCTATCTTAATATTTTATTTTTAATTTTAATTTTTCCTTTTTTAGAAAAATAGAAAATGACCAAACAATACCTTTATTTCCCTTTTTTTTTTTTCTTTTACATTATGAATAGACCAAAACTGCACTTATAAAGTTACAAAATTCTTTTTTTATATCGCATGTCGGAATTTTTCTTATACAAAAAATTATTTATTAAAGCAACTCATTTTGTTCTTTTTCTTTTAGTGTCAAAAATAAATATAAATACCAACATTTATTAGAGTTAGCTTGATTCAACTCGTATTAGTCTTATACTTCTCTTTTTAATTTTTTGAGAGAGAAAAAAAAATCATAAAAAAGGGTTAAAATGAAATTAATCTTATACTTTTTTTGAGAGAGAAAATTAGTCTTATATCTTATAGATGTGAGGATAATAATAATAATAATAATAATAATAATAATAATAATAATAGTTGTTGGGTATTTGCAAGCCTCATAAAAAAATAATCCCTAGATTTTAGGGGTAAGTTCCCTTATAACACATATCCAACTCATTTCAAAATGTTTATAAAAAAAATAACTTTAAAATAAATATAAATAGCTTTTTCTTGGTGTGATATATAGTTTATTAGCCTCTCATTTTAATTTTATTATATATTAAAAAAGAGTGTATAATATAATAAAACATGGGTTTTTGGTAATTGCACAAAGGCAACACTTAGTTCAAATTTGATTGGCAGCTAATCCATGATTTTTTAGGCATGAATAATAGAAGAAAGGGTAATAATGGAGATTAGGAGGCAAAAGTGCTTCAATGGGTGCCGGAATAAAGGGTTTGTCTTTGGTCTTTGCTTCCTCGAAGTTCTTACCTGTAGGCTGTAGTAGCTTTTTTACTTTACGCTTTTTCGTCGTTTGAACTTTGAACATAAGCTAACTTGTCACTTCTCTCCGCTTGTGACTGTGGGGGTTTGGACTAGGGTTTTCAGACCCTATATACTTTTACTCTGTACTATAAATTGTATATGTCTGAAACTGAAAAGAACCATAACGAATAAATGAAAATCAAAGTAGGACGAATTAGAATCTTGAATTCGAAAGGACTAAATTTTAAATACAAATAATGTAAGATTTGATTTAGGGATTTGCGATTTTGCTTTGATTATTTAAAATTATAAATGCAGAACTGATTAACTAAATTACCGAATTGAAAAAGTTGAATTAAATTGATTCGGTTTTAAGTAATTTGACTTGCAATATAAGAAACTGCAGAAGACTCAATGCCATATTTTAATTTGTAGGAGAAAATTTTTAATTATCAAAAGTTAAAAATATTTGCAATCTGCCCATTAAAAAAATATTTGCAATGTATATATATATATATATATGATGCCCTCAATTTTTTTTTGAAAGAAATTAAAGCTTAATTTTAATTCTGGTTCCATTAAACTCAGTTCTCTTTTGATCATACATCATTTATTTTGAATTATTGATGATTTTTCTTTTTAGAAATGAGGATATTCTCATGCCAACTTAAGTGCATCGAAATTAAATTTTATTATAATCTTAAAATTATATTCTCACATAAACATAGTACATACAGAAATATTGTCCTTAATTTATTCAGAAAAAAATTATTATTTTTACCAACTAGACTAATTTTATTCAAAATCTGATCCCTACTAAACGGACCTATAGGAAGGGGCAACAAGAAAGTTTAACTGTGATTAAACCATAAACTGAATTAAGCAATCCCTCGTAATGAGTCCGGATACCAGCGATTTACATAAAAAAAAATAATGAGAAGGAAAAATATTTCCATTGTCTTAAAAGGCTAACGTTTGGCTGCTCGAAATAGTGGGGATTAATTTAGGAGTTGGGAGCTAGTTGAAAATCTGTCTGTTTGCGTCTGGTACCCGACAGTTATTTGATTCCAAAATCTCTATTTAAAATTTCTACACCTATCGTCAATTCACTACAAGGTATTGCTCCTCCTTTATAACATTGATAAAATTGAATTCTAAACCTTCTAATTGGAAAATTGCAAACTGAGGATAAAAGAAAAATAAATAAAACACCAGACAGAAACCCTAAAACACACAGCAAGAGCACAAATCAATTTCATATTTGTATAAACTCCTAATACAATGTTGCATTTGCATACAAGAGGTAATTTCCTAAAATTGAATAAGGTAGTAGATGCTAATACTTTCGGTTTCGCAAAATAGTCGTAACGTCAATTTCTAATTTCTAACTCAATAATAGTCCAGGTCTGTCAACATTTCACATTTGTGACAGACTGAACAGTATAAAGTATACAACTCCAAGATTCCAGTGGCTGCATTGGGTGTACAAGTACAAGGAACCAGTAGGCAATCTTCCTTTCACGTAAAACTCATCTAGTGCTAGAATTTTTCTTCTGTGCTTCTTTGACTCTAAACCGATTGTCATTGACAAACTGATAATAATTTTCCTCTCCATAAAGTTTCCTGGAAGTTAATGTAGATAATATAAGTTCAAGAAAGAGCCATGTAGAAAAAACAAAAAAGACAAAACTCTTTGTCAATACAGCTAAAAGCAATGCAACAAGCTCAATCAAGCACTTAATTAGTCCAAAGAAAAAAAAAAATTGGCAATCAAGTAGAACATGAAGAAGTAGAGAATTAGCTATAAGGCAGAACTAAAGCACAAGAACAACACATCCAATAATAGGACGTGTAATTGATAATTCTAATCAACCGTATTTAAAACGATGGTCATTTCTGAGAGGAAACTCGTTTATGAAAAAGAGGTGTGGAGATGGGACTTAGCGAGAGAAGCAGGTTATGCCATTGGCCTATTAGCCCACTGGTCAAGTATCTTGCCTTGTGGTGCTGGACGTCAAGAATTCAAACATTGATAGTCACTCTCATTTGAATAAAAAATAAGGGTCTCAAAATAGACCAAGAAGAAAAATTGACGCATATTCCTTACTATATGATAAATGGAAAAAAAAGGAGAAGCTACTGATCCATATATGAGGGGAAAATCAACAGTCATAACTGGTAAGACAGCAAATACATATTTTGAAGAAAAAGATATCAAATCTACATCTGACGCATTTTCAAGGAAAGCAAATGCTAAAATAATGGACAAGCTTCTCCTATATCATTAGGCCTTGCAAACCTCTGCACAGTTTTCTGAAAAGAAATTATTTGGCAATTGTCATGCACTACTATTTAATGAGATGTGAACTTTTAGCACCCAGTGGCCAACTATTAGTACTTGAATTCATCAAATCTTTTAAACTAGAAGAAGACGACAATCTAAATTAAACTTACGCTATATCTGCCAAAGTTTCTGACTTGATTACACCCTTCCCCTCTGGGAGTTCAAGGCATGAATAATGCATAATCATTTCTTTCAACGTGTGCTTAGTACTTTTAATATTATTGTCCCATAAGATACTCTGCAATCAAGGATGCAAAAAATTATAGGCTAACCTGAACAGAATTCCCCATTCATTCCAAACTTAACCATTGTGTCATAAAGTACAGCAATATCAACAAAAATGCGAAGAATGCAAAGCAAGAAATCTCAACTTGTTTTAGAAAGGAAATAATAGAAATAAATATTCTCAGTTCATTTGAAAGTCACAAGCACCGACCTACCTTTCTAACATACTCTCTTTTCACATCTTCATAATGCACTTTGCCTTCAGGAGAGAAAATAGAGGCATTCCAAAGAGCACCTCTTGCAACCATCACTGATGAGGCACCTTGAAGAAAACCAATAAAATTGCCAGAAATCAATATCAATTGAAACTGAAGTACATGTAGCACATGAAATTTGCATCAAATACTGGAAAGCATCATTAAGCATGCAGAAAAGGTAAGGAAACAACTTTCAAGCCCAATTGACAAGAAAAAAACGTATCATATTGTAGCTCAAGTGTTAAAGTGTAGAACGGGTCTGGCTTATTTCAAATTCCAAAATAAATCATTATCTTTTGAATCCAAATTTTTTTCCTGTTTTTCTGTCTCTCGATGCCCACTTTTTTCTTTTTAAGTTATTCTCTTAATGGTCTTTCTTTGTATTTTCTTTTTTAAATTGTACAGCAATTTGGATATTGCAAGCATATTGGTGACTATATGCAGGCATGGCAATAGAGCAATGAGTTATTCTTCATCCCTGCCTCAAAAGTGAATCCCTGTCCCAGTCACTGTCCCCTCATAATGGCAATAAAAATACCCAGCACTACCTGTTTTTTTCCATTTTTAATTGGTCATTTTCCAATTGCCTTGACCCAAAAAATAAAGAAAAAAAGTGACTTACATTGGCAACTATCAAAACCAGATTTGATCACCGAAACCCAGAAGAAAGGCAGGAGCTTTTGTTGCAATCTTTTTTAATTATACAACAATACTAATGCATTACTCAATAAATATAAACATGAGTTACATTATTATACAAAAAATAAACATATATATCTGGGTCCCGTGGAGCTGGATTGATGAATCCCAATAAAGTATACTCCCGATCCACCCAACCCTGTGAGGAACAGAAGACAATCCTTCCCTCAATTGCACAGGTTCCAATAGGGAAACTAGTAGTCACAGCATAAACTAACAAAATAGGAGAACAAATTGGAGCAAATTGCAGGGGAAATTTAGGTACCTGTTGCTGTTTTAATTCGCTCAAAATCACTGTAATCAAAGACATCTCCATTTGCAATGACTGGAATAGATAATGCTGAAACAACATCAGCAATCTCACTCCACTTAGCTGGATCCCTTGGTCTATCTGCAACTTTTCTACACATTAGACAACAACAAAAGAAGCAACTACTTATCAGATAATTCAAGAGAAACAATGTATCAAAGTCTATATAATATGGTATGTTTATCATTCTCATGCTTTAGAACATTAAATCTCATCAATCAATCACCCACTTTTCCTGCTTTTAGATAACCACCTTTTTATAGTGTTTCATTGATTCCAGCAGATGTCTACTACAAGTCTTTTGCAGGAGGCTTCGTAGATATCCTTGTCATAAGGTTTAAAATTATGATCCCATGTTATATTCTTTCCTGCTCCATTAAGTTCTTAGATAAACTTAAACAATTTCAAGTTACAAGCATCTCCTCCATTATCCCTTCTTCTTCAGCATCCATGATTCCAAGATGAAAGTTTTGCTTCCTCATCCACTGTGAAAACTCATTATGGGTACTACTTTTACCAAATTCCCTAATGTATCAGTCTATCCTTGCAAGTCTGACAGAGTTTTAGACAATAGGCGTTACACAATTGTCATGTAAAGAATTTTCTGTGGTATTATCCTTACTACTGTTAATTAACAGAAGAGTACATGCATAGCTAAAGGCTACTATGGCTGTTACATGATAGCAATATACAGGATTGAGATTTGACTATGATTTATGGCAGCTGGTGATGGCGAAGAAACAATGTGTATACAGAATCAATTAAGTGAAAATAAGGATGCTAAATTGGAACGTTTGGAAATACAAGGATGGATCAGATTCTGAATATGTAGCCCTAAATTAGGTGGACTAGTAAAAGACAGAAGCATATAACCAGTTTGGGAAGTAAAGCTTAGTTGAGTTGCGTATTTTATATTCATATGCTAGTTGCATCTATTAGACTTAAGTCAAATTCTTCAACTACAACAGTGGTTCTGACAGTTATTATGATTGGAAACTATTGCTCTGAGTGCATTTAGTTCAGTTTATCTCATAACTATACCAGCACTTTAAGCTCTTTATTAACCACATCACGAACATTGGAAGCCCCAATTTTCGGCTAAAAGATCTTTTTCCCCTTTTAATTCGACATTGACAACTGTGCCCCACCGCCACCTTCCTCTTAATTTTTTTTTAAAGGAAAAAAATGCATTTGTCAGAGGATATGAAACTAATTTAGGATCTCATATTTCAATGAACATATAATTATCAGCACAAAGTCCTTACTACAAAAACTACATAAATTGCCTGATTTATAATAGACTAGCACAATTAAGAATCCTCACAAACTAAAAAATATGCAGTTAAATAAACAAAATTTGAGATTCGAAACAGAAAAGGTGTGAATTGTATATGACCTTCCATGAACTGCAAGAGCAGAAACACCAGTTTTTTCAATTCGCCTAGCCAGTTCCACTGTATCTTGGGAAGACTTCAGAAGTCGAATTTTACATGTTACTGGAGAGTTCAAGTTCCTCTTTAGTGTTGTTAAAATCTAAGCAAAAGAATTGTACAAAAGTAATAATGAATAAACTGAGAACATTCTGTAAGGGAAAAAAAAAAAAAAAAGACAGCAGTTTTCTGAGAATATGTTTTTTGCATACATCGTGAATGAGCTCCGGTTTGTTCAATAGTGCAGCACCCATGCCCCCACTTATAGAAAATGACTTGGGGCAACCCATATTGACATCTATTGCAGCAACATCCTTACATCTAAACGAAGAAAACATTGTCAATAACGTTTACTCTATATTCAAGCCAAAACCTTGCACAAAATTTTTGGATTTAATCATGAAACTAACTCAGATCCGCATATCATAAACAAAAGAATTGACTACCACTCCCCTCTGAACCCAAAGTGAACTAGAAATTAAGCATGCAACTTACACCATTTGAGCAGCAGTTAGAGCCCTCACAGCATCAGAAGTGCCCATCTGGAATACAACCCGGTTTCTTTCTTGATTGCAGGTTCTAAAGACCACATTTTCTGTTCCTTTCTCCACAAAATCAGTGCACCCAATATATTCTGCATTAAAGTAAACGAGTATCCCTGAATTGACACATAGAAAAGCAATGGACCAATATGGAGACAACCCAATGAAGTAAGAGGCATTGTTTGTTTCCAGTTCCATCAACAGAAGAAGGCAAGACACAATACAGAAAAGAAAACTATCTCAATTCTTTTTCTTTTCTTTTAATGAAAAAGACTTGACAAGAGAAACAAAGAGTAATTACATTTCTTTCTTGGTTAATAAGAATCCAAATCGGATACCCAGATTTAAAATTAGGAACCCTAAACAAACAAATAAAAGGCATTTTTAGTTAAAAAGAAAATTTCCTTTGTAGTCATTTGGATCTAACTGATCTAGTTTTGTTTGTATTTTTATATTTACAAGGAAGATACTGGTAATTCTGTTTTTATATTTCCAACCTTTTTGTCTTCAGATTGATCAATCAAAGCATAAATTCAAAACCTCAATTTTGAAGGCATCAGCAATTCCTGCAGGCAACTTGCTCATTTCCAGCCAACAAAAACAGCACCTTCTTGTCCATGGACCTCAATACACACTATAATATCTCAATTCACATACTGCATAACCTTTCTTATTTCACTCTCTACCCAAAATTCCTGATATCTAAACACTAATGCCCACAGATCTGTTCATTGGCAAATCTGCTCTACTTCAATGGGTCCTTTACTGAAAAGTTTATAACAACATTCTTTAATTTCTAATCTCATGCTCCTTCACTGAAAGTCTTTCATCATCACTTTAAAAAAGACCACATGAACTGAGTTCTCAATATTCGACTCCCTTATCACAGCGAAGTCAGATGGATCTTTATCTTCATTGCCAAGACCTTTTGTAAAGAGTATAACAAATTAACTTCAGATAATTACCTTTCAGATTCCATTACAATTTTAAAATATTTTTGTTGAATCCAAGTTTTCCAAGCTCTATTAGATGCTCTTTGGCACTAATTTTGACTTCTTTTTTCAGGTAAGTTATTTTTTTTCTTTATGGTAACACCGTTACTTGTACACACAGCCAAATTTCCTAGTAATGGCACTTAGATATTTATATTCTAAAATTCCATACAAGTGTGAATACCATGCAAAGGGTTTTCATTTCAAGCTAAATCTAAATACTATTTGCAGAACGTGAGAAGCACAGAACACAAAAAAATTGTCATTTAGCTTAAGCATGAAACAGAAATTACCATTTAAGCTGTGTGCTTGCATTCAATGGTTCAAGATCAATGATCCCCTCCCTGAATGTAATATTTGCACCATATGTAGCTGGTGACCTAAACATCAATATTCCCGAGAAAATGGTACAACTAAATTCAATCAATATGCAAGAGCCAACACTAAGCTACTTCAAAGTGTAATTTTATGACAATTTACAAACAAAAATCTTTTGATGATAAATTATTTGTATAAACTTCAATAGGAGTGCCCCATTTTTCACAATCGGATCACCAATCTACAGCTATCAGCTTAATATACAAACATTCCAAACAGGACTTAGCACCATAACATAGGATCAGTTTCTCAAAGAAGAGGACGAGTGAGACAAGTGAACAGGAAAAGATCTTCACAGATCAGAAAAATGGTATCAAAGACTCTGGCTCCCTTATGAATATGGGGCATTTGGGTAAACAAACATATCCATGGCATTATCAAATAATTTTGCACCAAAAGCAGTCAGTCTGTTAATTTCACTAAATCATAGTTCACCACAGTCCATACCTAACAACCGCCTACTAATTCACTTTTTCCATGTAGTGAGCAGCTATACAAAAGGTTAAACTGGTGCCTATATATCAGAATATGATTCCTTAGGTTGTCTTACGAAGCATCACAGACTTGAATTACATAATACAAACCTGAGCTAAGTATGAAGGCCTGCAACCCAACTAATTCCATTGCAGCTGCAGGCATTCCTCACAACAAATGCAGCCACCAGCTAGTTGTTTTCAAACTGCTACAATTATAACATGAAAAATCTATACTTCCAAAGGACAAATCTCGAACTCCATTATACACAAAACACCCCAAAATGTCTTGATTCATTAAGAGCTTGTTTGTTATAAATGAACTCCATGCAATTTTCTGAAATTCATTTGCAAATCCATACATATCAATGTATTTGTAACTAAATGAAAATTCATTTACAATTCTGTGGAATTGGTTGTACACTTATACTTAAATCCAATCAAATTTCGTAGAATTTGCAAATCAACCTTAACAATGCTACAAATTTTACTCGGCTAAAATTAGCTCTAAAAATTAGACCAAAAACAGCATTGAACATAACAAAATTTCTAGTAGCGGTTATAATAAAACAGTTTGATTGTAAAAGCCATAAAAGAAATTAAGGCGAAAACAGTACCATTAACTTTCCGCTCACATTTGAGCATCTTATGGTCAATAATCTCCTCCCCATATGTAATATCAGCACCATATTCAGCAGCTAATAACCTAAACGGCAACGTCCCCTGCGAGAAAACGACACCAATAATTCAAATTAGTAACTATCCAAGGGCTTCATAAAATAAGAATTACTTGTCGATTTTGTTATTAGTACTCACAACTCGAACCATGGGAGCCAGCACCAGCTTATTCTCGTACTCCATCTTTGTCGATAGAGGGAGATGAGAACAGTTGCGCGATGGCTGGCGCCTGGTGGTTGCTTCTTTTTCTTTTCTGTTTTTTTTTTTCCCCGTTACTACTGTTGGGGAGAAGAAAAGATCTAACTGCTGAAGAAGATGGGTATCAATGACGATGGGTTGGGTTCAGTTGGGCCTGGCCCAATTACTCACTGAATTACTTTTCCTATTGGGCTGTGTTAAGAAAATTATGAATGAAAAAAAAATTCAAAATTACACTAGAACTAGAACTCCATTAATGTTTTTGAATTGGCTTTAGAAATATTTTACTATAATAAATTATAAAATATTATGAAAAACAATATGTTTCCTACAAAATAATTTGTCCTTTCAAGAATTCAATATATTTTTATGTGAAAGATAAGTTTACTGAGCGATTAATCTTTGGATGTTATATATCAAACGTCAATTTGAATTAATTATTCTTACTAATTAATATTAGCTCGTGAACGATGTAAATTAACTATCAACAACACGAATGACTTAAACCAAACACTTACCATTCTCAATTCTTATACTTTAAATTAGCTAAGCCAAACACTTATGATTCTAAATTCCTATGATAACAATATATAAAAGCATTTTTCATGGGGCAGAATAAAAATAATCCAAGTCGTTTCCTTTCAAAAAATACTCCAAGTGAAATTCTTAATTTATTTTAAATAAAGTTTTTAATTATCATTGACACGTAAATGCTAATCAAAATAAGAGAAAAAAATGCACATAGTTACATGGACTTTAATTTCGTGTCTCCAATGCGAGTTACAATAAATGCTGAATTAATAATTTTAAGTAATCCATTTCCAATGCATAACAATTAACCATATATTGAAAAGTGTAAAAAGGAATTTTGACTTTGGGGTTGGGAGCCATATACTCCCCGCCCCAAAGTATTATATAGCCGTAAAAAGGTTAACTAGATTTCGTTTATTGCGTCGTCCGTTCATTAACAACTCACATGACAAAAAAACAACTATCTGTCTTGTAACTAGCTCTGCCAATAAATCGAGGTGAGACAGGATATTTTAGAGTAACTGCTCTGATGTGTTTAATTAGGATACGAATAGTTATAAATTGATTTGATTTTAAACGCATATAAATAATGAAATTATTGCATATAAATAGTGAAATTATTATCCACGATAAATATAGATAGATTACGAGTATTAGTTCATACATATCCATGGGTACCCTACCCATTTATTAATAAAAAATGTTTTTTCAAGAAGTTTAGGTTTAACGTCGCAACGCTTCCATCCCTACTCTCTGCTCATTCTTTCGGTCTTTAGTTTCACCATTGAAGCTTAAAAATGGATCATAATATAATAGCTTTCTCTGTTCCCTACACTAGAGAAATGATATCATTTCTGACATATTTAACTTTTTGAATGCTACTTTTAGTTCAATATTTGTAGTAGCTTCACATAATTGTAGGAAACCTGAGCTGACATATCATTTCACTTCTCTGAATCTTCATTGTTTCCAAATAAACCAGATTGCTCAAATTAGTTACTCCAACTTTGTGTTGAATGCTAGAACTCATTTCCCATTATTTGAAAATTACATATACATTTGGGGCACCACGGTAGTCATATTCAAACAATTGCCTGGCCTAGGAAAATGCAGTTTACATTAAGGGGAAAAAAATTAATGGGATAAAGAATAAAGGAAACAATTAACTTATGCCACTTTAACTCCACTTGGGCGTTTTCCTTCCATGGCGTCCTTCTTATTGCGGCAATCAGCACATAGGAAAGGCCCTTGCCATGGTTTTGAGCTGGTGGAGAAGATTGAACCAGCATGAACAGAGATGCCCTCGCTTGGTGCAAGGTCAACTTGACATACAGCACATGTGAAAAGACCAGATGTTGATTGTGTTGCGGTGTCATCGTTCCCCAGTCTGCAAGATAAAGGAATAGCAATTGAATTAAGTTGTAACCATAGTTAAAAGAGAAAAATTCTCACAGATTGTGTACACACATTACAAGGAATGGAAGTATGAGTATGAACAAAACAACTAAATTCCAATTTTATAGAAGTAACTAAAATTAATAGAGTAAAAAGAACGAAAATTCTCTACATTCCAAAGTCATCCGAAAGTCATTGAACTCAAATATATTGGCCATTGAAATCATGGAAAAATTCATCATTGCGTAGTCTGAAACCCTTGCAGGCAAAACTGCATCAAGACTTTTCACATGCTGAACATGCAGGCTGTTTTAGGAGGCAATTGATGACACACAACTTTAATTGGAGTTCTTGTGGAAATTATCTTCAGTAGCATTGCATGTGCACCCTTCTACTGCTGAGGAATCAAAGGCAAAGAACATACCACTCTCCAAAAACCCAAATAATAAATGAATGAACAAACAAAATGGAAAGACCTAGTTTTATAAGCCATTTTACCACCAGATTATTTAAAGAAAAACTAAGGGGCTTGAAGGCTCACTATTTTGCTATTTTTAGTTCATGAAATATTATCACAGGCCAAAGTATAAAATTCAACTCAAAAGCATGGTTCAGCAATTTGCTTTCCCCTTCTTCGCAAAGACTTGGGACTAGATCTACCAAAATCATATCCCATTACCATGGAACCCAAGGGTACCAAGGCAGTAATGCTTGCAGTGAAATTAAAGCTTAGCCTCATTTGCACTCATGCAAGGACAAGGAGTTATCTACTTATTAAACATTATCTGGTTCGATGTCAATATCAGTGACTCGTCAATTTCATTTCTGGGCCAGTGCTCATTGTAGTAGTTGAGAATACCTAACCATCCTCCTTGCCCTAACCATCCTCATTGCTTGTAAAAAGTCAAAAAAAAAAAAACAAATTAAGCGACTCAGTTTAGATTTTTTCAGGTCATCCTCAATCCAGATCGAACATAACAGCAGGCCAAACCTGATAATTTCAACTCAAGACCAACCGACCCGTAGAAATTGCAGCCAATGCAAACAACCATGCAGTTTGGTCAACACTGTGTTTGGTCATTTGAGGCAGTTAAAAATTTTATATGATTTTTTCCTCTCAAGGACAATAGTAGCATATGATGCATATAGAGAATATTTTATGTTGACTCAGATTCCTCACTATGATACTTTAGAACTAGGAAATAATTTAACCTTCATGCAGTCGTCATCAATGATTAATACAAGAGACTAATTTTATTATTTCATATCATAACAGAATGCATAGAGAAATTTTCAACAGATTTGTGAATTAGCATTTCAAAACTAGAGCTATAAGATAATCATAAATTATCTAAAATATTAAGCACTAATATATTGCGTTGCAGTAGCATCAATGTTTTCTGGATAAATCTCATACTTTGAAGTAGAAACAGTCAGCCTACCATAAAAAGAGAAAGAAAGGCAGAAGCAACCAAATAAACTCCAGAAGTCTAAGATAATCAACGATACCTAAAGTAGAAGTAATATATAATACAACAATAAGACAGAGCACAAATGGCAGCACTAACCTTTCAGCAAGCATTGCTGAGCCTTCTTCAAACAATTCTTCCACTATACCTACGGCAGAAAGCTTTTTTGATAGCTTATTAGTAGAATCATGTGATTTCTTCCTGAATAATAAGGCTGTAAGTTTGTTCTGCTTCTTGGGAGGAGTTGATGGCTGTACTGAATTATCAGGAGGAATTATGTCAACAATTATGCAGGTTGTATCATCCTTGAGTCCTCTTGTCCTTAATGCTTCCTACAACAATCAAATCCAGCAAGAAATAATTTATGAGCATAATTGGAACACACATATCACCAACCAAAATATTTTCATGGCATGCTATGCCAATATATATCCGCACACAGGCTTTTACGTAGTTAGTGCCAGAAAAGAACAAACAGAAATTTAAACACCTTCACAACTTGTCGGGCAGCAAGTTCAGCTGGCAACCCGCGGCAAGATTTTGCTGCCATTTCTGAGGAAAGAGCATCCCAGATTCCATCAGAAGCAATTATAAGCCTGCCACCTGCATTTGATAGCTTTTTTATGAACTGAAAAAAGTTAGAGATAGTCTTGTAAAAGGCCCAGTAATATCCAACATAATTGCATGGATATTGCACACAAGAGAGGAAACAACAGAGCAAATATAGTCAATAGGTGATGAATCCATGGAACAAAACGGATGCTTACCTTCACTTGCTTGACATATGGAATTGGAACTATAAACTCTCCAACATCCATGTCTCCAATTGATCTAGAAAGGCATAATCCTCCTGGCCAACACCGGAGGGGGCCAATCTGAAAAAATTATGCAAAAGATTAAGCAAAGCTGACATAGTTGAAGAAAGATATTTGCTTAGTTAGCGACAATCAGAAAGACTTCAATGCTTATTATGAGAAATATGTGAGATCTTAAAGCACTCACCTCAGCACCACCAACAATGCTGAGCCTTCCAACTTCCCCACCACTTGCAGTTACACGTTCCCTCCTGCAGATAAAGCGCAACAAAATAAGTTCCTATCTATAGTGTGATACATGATATGCAATCAAGATAAACACATACTCTTCCACATTCTCTTCGAGTCTATGATCCACGGTTAAGGAGGAAACGGCACCACCTTGAGCATCTAAAATACAGCGTGAGTCTCCAACAGATGCAACAGTGACTGTCCATCCATCAACTATCACAAATGTTGCTGTAGTACCTGACGTCTCTCCTGAAGTAAGTTATATAAAAACAAAATAGTTAGTTTCATCTAAAGGCACGTCAACACGGTGAAAATTTCAAACTACAATAAATCAAACAGTGAAGATTATTGTGGGGGGGGGGGGGTGCCCAGTTATCCACCGGTTCCCCCCTCCCCTGGACAGAATAAAGCCGCCAACTTACATACAGTTCCCTATCGCTTAATAAACGTTGATCACGGATTTCGAAGAGCAAATCCAAGCATGAAAACCATGACTGCCTTCGTCCACATTCTTCCGGACGTCTATGCATCACCGTTGTTAAGGACGGGAAACCGGCCACCACCGCTGGAGCAAATTCTAAATGAATAAACAGCCTATTGGAGGGTCTCCAACAGGAGAGATTGCGGAACCCCCAGTGACCTGATCCAATCCAAATCAAACTATCCACAACATGTTGCCTGCTGTTATTAGTTACCTGACGTCTCTCACTGAAAGTAAGTTATATTAAAAACAAAAATACGTTAGGTTTCATCTAAAGGTCACCGTCAACACGCGGCGGTGGGAAAATAGTCAAATTACCCTACAATAAAATCAAAACATGCAAGAGATCTATCTGTTGGGGGGGCGGGTGGGCACTGTACGGCCCGGCTGGGTCTCTAAATCATGCCTCTTGCTTGATGAACGTCCTTTGTCGTTGTTTTCAACAAACCCAGCCACCAAAACCGGCTCTGACTTCGGTTAAGAGCTTTGAAGCAACTCCTCCCCGCCCAAGTCTCCTCGGAAGTGCACCCTCAAAAAGCAATGATTCAATTAAAATTCTCCCTAGTAAAATTAGCATGTCCGGCATTTTCCATTTTGTCCGCGGTCAAAGAGTGCGTGAAGATGTAAGTAGTGCATTATTTGGACCTATCTCACCATATTACTAGTAGTCTAATTTAAAATAATACAATCCACCTAAAATCATTTTAAAATTTGGAGTCCAAACCTATTTGGGGGGGGGGGGGGGGGCGGCGCTAAATTTCATGCCTCTGCTTTGGAACTCTTTGTCGGTTTTCACAAACCCAGCCACCAAGGCTCGAGGTAAAGCTTGAAGCCACTCCTCCCGCCCAAGTCCTCGAGGAAGTGCACCCAAAACATGATTCAATAAATTCTCCCTAGTAAAAATTGCGGCCGCATTTCCATTATGCCCGTCAAAGATCTGAAAATTAAAAGAGATTCATTGACTATCTCATAGAATATATAGATGAAAAATATACAATCACTAAAATCATTTAAATTTGATCCAACCTATTTTCAAAATTACAGGTATCTCTCTTTTTTCCTTCTGGTACTCTAAAAAGAATCAAAACCATATAATTTTACATAATCTACTGCAACAAAGGGGGAGAAAGAAAGATTTCATGTATTTGAAGCTACAATTCCCGTTAGTCATTTTGCGAGAATAGAACTCTTTATTGACCGAGACCACCGATCTGAAAAATTGTTTAGCTATTGGAAAACCCAACTCTAAAATATTTAAACAGATTCTTGTCTAATGCATTAAAACAGCTGCCTTTTAACCAACTTAAGATTTCCTACATCATTTGCTCACATAACCATCTTACAAACTATTGCAGTTTTTCAGGACTAAAAGAAATATAGAAGCCAGAGAATGCAAGAATTACCGCAAACACAGAAAACGTCGATGAAGGATTCCCTGGTACTCGCTGACAGTCTGTCTTCATCAAAAAATAATCTTCTCCTTTCCTAGACTGAGCCGCATAACCATATCTCAGAGTTGGCTTCTCCATCTTCTCATTCCTCATTTCTCTGCTGATCAAAGCAGCGAGAGGCACAAGATTATCACGGCGACGCCTCCCTTCTCCAGAAGCCATTATCTAGGACTCCAATGTCTTAGCTTCTGGGTCCAAGACCTCCAAATTACCAAATGATTTGCCGCAAAAGCATATTCTAAATTCAACTTCCTTGAAACCAAGGATCTCCCAGAATATATAACAAACCAGTAATCCTAATTTCACTTCACAAACATAACTATTCTTTATCTGACCACTGGAATTCAGTTCTCTCTCAATTAACCACCAAAATTTCTAACTTGATCTGCAGTCATCATTTGTTAAATAGAGGCAAATATTAAACTTAGATCAAGCAAATAAACCAAAGGATGCCGTTGAAACTAACAACAATTACTATAATTCATAACATAATTTTATGTTCTCAGCCATGAATGGTTCACTGTTTAGCATGAGATTCAAAACTCTGTAGAAAGGGAACAAGTACAAATTTTATTACTGATTATACAGAGAACAAAATCCTGGAAGACAGAAAGAGAGCAAATGAAAAAAAATAAAAAAAGGAATGTAGAATACCAGCAAGAATGTCTGGCTGTGTGTTTTGAGCAGAAACAAAGATGCAGATCCGATTAACACTAAGCAAAACACCACAACGACAGCAACAACACGTATAGGAAACGCGTTAATGAACTGTCAACCAATTAATCTAAATCTAAATATCTCAATTTAAAAAAAAATAAAGAAATAAATAAAACCCATAAAAATAAATGTGATTCAATTTTTAAGAATCTACCCAGGTCAGCTTCTGTACATTTTCCTCCACCAAACAGAGAATTATTTTAAAATAGTGAAAAGATCAAATGGAAGGGTTACTTAGAAAGACATTTTTTTTCTCAATTGGTGAAGGAAAGGAGCCAGAAAGTGGTTTTTGCTGACTCTATAAAGCAACCTCTCCACATACCCACATTCCCCTTTCTGTTAAAAATCTCATCTTTTTATTCTCCAAGAAAAAATGCTTTACCTTTCTAATTCTCCAGAAAAAAGTTACAGAACTAGAGTTAAAAGCAAGAAAAAACCAGCCATAGCAAGCCTATTTACAAAATCAGCAGCTTCAGCCTTCGGCAGAGAGATTACTCATTGAGAGAGCGTTTATTAGATTCTTTTCCGGTCCTGCTTAGATCAGAAAAGAGAAAGGATGGTGTACTGTATTGTATTGTACCGCTGCCTGCTGGTGGTGGATTACAGTAAATCAGAGTGTGGGGACCACATGCAATTCAGAGTTGAAAATGCAGGTAGAGAGAGACAGTTTTTTAATTTATTTTAAAATAATTATTTAAATAAATTTTTTTCCAGAAAATTGAGTGAAAAAGCTGACACGTGTGGAAGACGGTGCATGTGTTTCTGTGATGGCAATGATGTGGATTATTTATATTGGACATACATATAAAGCAAGGTGTATGTATAGGATCTGTATAGTTTGGTGGTCCTTAATAATACTAGGTCAGGTTTTGATAGAGGGACCACTTGATAAATAGAGGAAAATGTTTAATAAATATTTTTCTTTTTCTTTTTTTTTTTTTTTTTTTTTTTTTTTTGATACTATACATATACAAGCCAACGGTGTATGTTAGGATCGTTAGTATAGTTTTCGAGTGGCTCCTTAATAAACTACTAGGTCAGGTTTGACTCGTAGAGGGACCACTTGATAAACTTAGGGAAAAATGATTCTAAGATAAATATTTTTCTTTTTTTTTTTTTTTTTTTTTTTTTTTTTTTTTTTTTTTTTGTGTGTGTGGTTGGGTTATGTTAAGAGGTCGCTCTTTAGATTAATAGGGGTAATTAGGTCAGTATATTGCATTTAATGGCAGCCAGCAAAGCATGCTTGTATTGCCACACCAAGGTTTCCCCTTTTTGCCTCCTTTTTCAAATAGGGCTATTTGTTTGTGGAAAATTAAAACAATCTTCTAGAAAAATATTTTTTAAGAAAATTGAAAAATAAAAATTTTTCTTCATATTTATCAATTTTTCATTTTCAAAATTTAATAAAATTTGAAAAGATAATTTATAATAAAAGTCATATTTATATAACTAGTGGGCCTTCCAATAATAAATAAAAAGTTGTATTACTCAATACAATAATATTATATAAGTCTAGTAAGAGATTAAAAATAATTAAAAATAATAATTTAATTTTTAATGTAACAGATTATTATAATTATTAAATTTATAATCACATCTTCTATGACCTATTTCATTTTAATTATTTGTGATAGCGGTAATTGGTAATTTTATGTTGGCTAGTGGCTCATAGTTATGAGCTTATGAATGTTGGTTATTTAGCAAAAGTTTAATATAGCGGTTCTTATTAAAAAGTAAAGTATTATTAAGAATATAATTTATTTTCATAATTTTAAAAGTGAATATATTATTTTTATTTTAATTTATGATGAAAATTAATTTGTATAATAATATTCAAGGCAATCATATATTTATTTTCATAATTTTTAAAAGTTGAACTATATTATTCTTTATTTTTTATTCATGATGAAAATTTAATTCTGCTGCTTTAATAATAGATGTTAATATTTAATTATTATTTTTTAATATGTTAAATAATAAATAAATAATCATAATAAATTATAAAGAATCTATTCCAATAATTATTGTTATAAAATAATATTAAATAATTAAATAATAATATAAATAAATTTAAAGAATTATTAATAATTATTGTTATAAAATAATATAGTCCAAATATAATAATAAATACAAATCAACCGGCCGCTAAAAAAAGAAAGTTTCAAAATACCGCGGTCTGAAACTCATTTTAGCATAACATCACACTAATGGCACCTATTTTAGCATAACCACTCTGAATTTTGCCACTTCCTTTTTTTGTATGATTAAAATGTGGACCAACTTCTTAAAAAATGATAATTAAAAAGGAAAATTGATTATTGAAAAGGAAATGTTAGACATATTCATTAGCTTTATTCGACACGGAATTTTTTTTTTTTTCTTTTTTTCCCTTGTTAAAATAAATGGAAGTTCCACAATGTAATACCGAATTTATTAATTCAGATATCAAAAATTTATTCAAATATATATATATATATATAATCATATAGTAACCTCCAAGTGCATATGATAGCCTTGTACATAAATGTGGTAATTAAGAAATGTAATCTTAACACATCAAAATACCATAAATTTAAATTTTGCCGACTCTTACGATTCGTTCTATTTTAATAGTTTTGTCAGTTTACATCAATTTTTACATTTTGTTGTTTTAATATCTTCAATTGTAATTAAGGATGGAAATGCAAATAATAAAATCATTTTTTTAAAAATTAATTAAATATCCTTTAAATATTAAATTATATTGACATCTAAATGGGACACATTTATAGATTTAGTATGCAATAAAAATAATCAATGAGTTATTTATGTATTTTTTTATTAAGTAAATAATAATTTGACTATTTATTATTATCAATTTAAAAAATTAAAATAATTATGATTTTTCATCCTTAAAATATAATAATATGAAAATAAATACGTAATTGAAAAAAAATTATATTTTTATTAATTTAATATTTATGTCATGCTTCAAGATTTTTGGTACTTGACACAAATTTATGTTATTAAATTACTAATTAATATATTCGTTTTATAATTTAATTTATGACTAACGCTTTGAGATTCGAATACCACTGCTCCTTACTTCTATAATTTGTATTTTCTACTATAAAAGATTCGAATACCACTGCTCCTTATTTCTATAATTCGTATTTTCTACTCTTTATAGTTTTGACTTTTTATTGTAATTTTCAATTTTTCACCCCTAACATGTGTAATCTGTCGTTACTGAAAATCTGATTTTCGGCAACAGAACATTTATTCACCAAATGGAATTTATCAAACTAAATGTTTACCTTTAAATATAATCGACCAAAAAAGATACATAGCATAAGAGTGAAAACGTATTTTATAAAAATTTAAGCTCTGTAACAACAATTCAAAGGGGAATCTAAAAATTGTCATGATTTATTATAATACCTTTTACTATGGATTTTGACTTCACTTAATTTTATCAGATTTATTTTATTAGTTTGATAATCAATTTTAATTGTTCAAATAAGGGAAACAACTATAAAATCACTAACAAGCTTTCCCGATGTATTGTTAGCTATTTTAATCCGTCTAATTACCTATCTTCCAATAGCACAATCAAATATGAATTAAATCATTAAGTTTTATGGTTTGTTTGTGAATTCATAATCTAAGGTCATTAACTTATGCCTGCCCGAATGTATTGTTAAGCTATCTTTTTAATCCCCGTCATAATTACCTATCTTCATCAGTCACACAACTCACAAATACTGAATTACATCTATTAAGTTTTTATGAGGTCCGATTTGTGGATTACATATCTAAGGTTCTAGTTAACTTATGAATCCCCCATTGAGCCAAAACATATAGCTTCTCGCATCAAGTTATCTAATCCTCACCTGTACTCTACTTTTTCACTATCCCAAAACCACTTTCTCTTCGACAGTAATAATAAAAAATTAAATCAAATTAGAGGAGAAACCTTTTGCCTTGTCAAGGCATTAAAGTTAAATCATAAATTATATCATGAAACACATGAAAATAAATTCAATATATAAATTGGCATCGAATTAAGTTACATCAGATCCCTAGTATTAGTAGAATTCTAGTTCGTACATAATAAATAAATTCTAGAGAAATAAAACTAGGCTCGACAACTGGCGTTATAATCTTCTTTGAATCTTAATTTTTCAATCTGATTGCCTCTGAATAGCACAATCAAATATGAATTAAATCATTAAGTTTTATGGTTTGTTTGTGAATTCATAATCTAAGGTCATTAACTTATGAAAATCCCCATGAGCCAAAACATATAGCTTCTCCATCAAGTTATTATTCTCATGTACTTACCTTTTTCATATCCAAAACACTTCTTTCGACAGTAATTAATAAAATAAATCAATCTAGAGGAGAAACTTTGCTTGCAAGCATTAAGTTAAATAATAAATTATATCATGAACAATGAAAAATAAATCTAATATTATAAATTGGAATCGAAATTAAGTTACATCAGATCCCTAGTATATGAATTTAGTTCGACATAATAAATAAATTTAGAAATAAAAACTAGTCGACAACTGGCTTATAAGGCTTCTTTGAATCTTAATTTTCAACTTGATTGCTTGAAGTATTGTAAAGAGAAACAATGTAAAGAAAAGAATATGAAATAATAAATGTGATGTGAATCTCCCTATACTGTAGCGATTTCTCTTTATATAGACTTCATTGGGTGTCTTTAAATCCGAGTATAAACCAATTGGTCTAATTAGGAATAAATATTATTTGAGTAGGAAACTGATTTATGTACCGTCTTTCTTTCAATTATGAGTCTTCTTTGACCAAATAAAATTGAAAGTCAAACAAGATAAGTCTTATATTATTCTCATACAGCTTCATGCACAAGACACGCCCAGACTTTAAATCTACATGGGCTAAATAATTAATTCGGCCTAATTGAATTTTCAGTTTTCTTGGAGACGCGTCGCGTTTGGCCGTGTACTTCACTATCTTGGTCATGTTGAGCTTTTATTTCTAAATTTCAGCTCCAACTTTTTTTGATACAATTAGTTATTTTCCTGCTAAAAACCATTCAAATCAAATTTATCAAGAATTAAGGAAACTTAATTAAAAACATAAATAAATTTAAACAAAAACTAATTAAAGTAATTGAAAATACTAAAAATTCTAATAAAAACTATATTAAATACTAAAACATTCTAATCAAAACTTATTACAAAATACTTAAAAATAAGCACCTATCAACTTAATTAAAAACATAAATAAATTTAAACAAAAACTAATTAAAGTAATTGAAAATACTAAAAATTCTAATAAAAACTATATTAAAAATACTATAAAAATAAGCCCTATCATTGTTCCTATTTAGCTACTAAATATGGCGTATAAGTTATAGCCTAAACCACGAAAGACATTCTAAATTTCTAATAAGTAGAAATAAAAGTTACCCTAACAGCACATGGTAAGGAGTTACAACATTTTTGGTTACAAGAACTTTCAATTTTGAGTTGTATTTTTCAAAAAACACTTGCCTACACCGTATCCATATTTTCACATATTGATCAAATTAATGAAATTTAGAATTTTTTAAAAAATATTTTGATTTTATTTTTTTTTCCAAATATATAATAAATAATACTCTCATTTCGATAAAAATCATAAATTTCATTGATTTGGTGTACAGATAATGCCATGTACTCTTATTAGATATGTTTTCCTATATTTTTTTTTACTCACATGTCTTAATATGCCAACCACTTGGGCCGAAACAAACCAACATCCAACATATGTTTCTTGAGCCAAGTGATCGATCACGCCGGGAGTGGACCCAAATAGCTGCATAAATTATACCCTATGCTATTTGTCTTACAGTCACAGGCATGATGTGATCGAGCTACTTGTATATACAAAGAAAATACAACATAATGTTCATAATTTAATAATCAGTAAAATTAATAATTCTTTTCAAAAAAGTCAGTAAATTAATAATTAATAATTTTTCCATTGCCCTCAGAAAATACCATAGCATTTACAAACATCAATACGAGAGAAATTGGTGAAAAGACTCTAAATAAGATTTCACACAGATGATGACCTGAAACTCTAAGATCTCATATTCAATTCCTATATATGTAAACATTTAATTGCGACATGTATTTTTACCTATTGTGGATTGTACTGTCTCTCTTAATCGGTTTTAAAATTGTTAGAACTATTATCAACGGCACAAAATGTATAATATTCATTTTATATAGTGGTGGATGAAAAAATAAAAATAAAAAAAAGAGATTTCACACGTATAAAGAAGATGTAGCAGAATGCCCAGATGAGCAAGATCATCTGTTGCATAAAAGCTTTTAAGACGTTATAGTCTTTATAAGAATTGTATATAGACTTTATAAATTAATAAATTATTAATTTGTCAATGAATTAATACTTCAATTGATTAATAAAATTTTATTGTTAAGAGTTAACGATGACCAAAAAAACAGAAAAAGATCTACTTTCAAATTTACATAGGTGGTGTTTGAATATTGTTTTTATAAATATCACCCGTCATATTTATTTATCATTAGGCAAGTTTGAGTTTGAGTTCGGCTTATTAATCTTATTTAATGAAATAAAATAATCACTCTAAAATTAAACATTTTTTACTTTCAAATTTCAACTTAAAAGAACAAAATTACTATGTACCATATCGGTTTGTTATAAATAAAGTAGGAAATACAGTGAAGATTTGTGCTACAAATTGAAGAATGTTCTTCCTGTTTTAAATTTAATATTTTTTATTTTACTTGTTATTAATGTAAATATTAATTATTTAGAGAGTTAGTATAAAATTAATTTAATTAATTATTTTATTTTTTTAAAATTGATTAATCATCATATTTTGTTCCCTACAAATTCTTTCATAGTTTTTAAATAATAATATAACAGAAAGGGGCAGAAATTTATTAATTTTTCTGCTGAACAGGCTGTTAAGTTGGGCCTTTCTTGCGCCTACAAGGGTTGCCCGTTTGTTCCGCATAAAAGGAACTATCAACAACTGATTACAAGTTCATGCACAAATTAAAATCAAATGCTACATAATTACACTGTACACCCGAATTTATAGTTTCCTTCCTTTCTGTTTGGGCAAATTAAAGAAACTGATAGCTATATTTTGCAGAATTACGTTTATATTATTTTACATCATCTGTACTGACTACTGAGGCTTTATGTTTCCCACAGGAACACAAACTTTTATTCTTGATAGGATTAAGCAAAAATGCCAATGTTTTTAAAATTGGATTCGACATTAAAAATCGGTGTCATCCTGGTTGGATCGAGTCGATTCAGTTCAACCGGATGTTTGATTTTTGAATATGATTTTTTTACTTTTGAATTTATAATTATTTGTCAAAAATTAAGTATAATTTATGGAATATAAAAATAGTATGTTGGCTTGGAGTTTCATTCACAATTCATGCCACTTTAGAAATAAAGAAATAACTATTTTTTATTTTATATAATTATTCATAAAATGAAAAAATATATTGATGGAGAAATTTATAACAAATAATAATAATAATAATAATAATAATAATATAATTTTTAGGATAGTTTAAATACTAGTATACTAATTAAGTCCAATTTAGAGATTTAAGTACAATTATTCTTTACTAGTTAAAATTGAGAAAAATAATAAAAATTTTAGTATTATCAAAAAATAAAACGAACTCAAAAATTATTATAAAAGTCATGTTATCGAATGCTATAATTAATATAGATATAATTTTAATTTATCAAAATGCTAAAAATTAGCTCAAAAATTATTGTAGAACATAGGCTTAAAATGAAAAAAAAAAGTTCAAGAAAAATTTAAGCACGAATATATTTAAGCTTATCTCTTCATAAGAGTTTAATGAGGAAAAAATGAAATTCTTTCTCTATGTCAATTTAATATATTGCAAATCTAGCCTTCACAAAATTATTGTAGAAATCAATAGGCTTTAAAGATGAAAAAAAAAAAGTTTCAAGAAACAATTTAAGCCGAATAATTATTTATAAGCTCTTCTCTCATTAGAGTTAAGTGACGGAAAAATGACAATTCTTTCTCGTAGTCAATTTCAAAATATTATATTAAAATAGGCTATCTATTTATATATTATATCTATATTCGATAAACATGCATCTTATATTGAATTTTTGAATTATTCTTTTCTTCTCCGGAATCACTTGTGTGTGTGTCAAGTCTATTGTTGAAATATTAACTTTTTAAATTTTGGCAGATGCGTATTGTGACTATAAATAAATAGATTAAATTATAATGGTATAATGGCCTATAGTTTGAAAAAAAAACAATTCGGTTCACGCTATTTGTTATTAGGTATAAGAAATAATTTGTATATCATAGCAGAAAGTATACTAAACTTGGTTGTTTTTTTAATTTTTTTAATTGAATAATAATCATATTGGAATAAATAATAATTTCAAAAAATAATTAACACAATAAAAATTCTTCACTAAATATAAACATGCATATATTTGAATTTTTGAATTTTTTTTCTTCGAATCACTTATATTTATCTAAGTCTATTTTGAAATATTAACTTTCTAAATTTTGGAAGATGCTATGTTGACTATAAAATAATAGATAAATTATAATTATAATGTATAGTGAAAAAAAAATTCCGGCATTTGTATAGTATAAGAAATAATTTGTAATCATAGTATACTAATTGTTTTGTTTTTAATTTTTTATTAATTGAAATAATAATCATTTGAATAAATAATAATTCAAAAAATAATTAACACAATAAAAATTTCTCCACTAAATAAAATGAACATTTCAAATTATAAATTTTTATTTGACTATATAATAAATAGAATTAAATAGAGTATTTTATTTTATAATATTACTATATATATATTTTAAAAATAATTTAACATTATAATTATAATTTACAATATATTAATTGTATTTATTAAACTAAATTTGGATATAGCTAATCTAAATTATTTATAAATTAATTATATAGATGTTAAAATATAAAATTAAATTAAATATTAAAAAAAGTAATATTTATTAAATTATTTGCGCATAGCACAAATAAATCATCAGATTGCGTTGTTTTGCTGTTGACTAGTCTGGTAACAGACTCTGTTAATAAGCTTTGATTTTGACATCATCATCTTCTCAAGTAAAGCTGCAGAGGCCCCTCAGCCTGACTAATCACTATCTACTTCTTCTTGCTTTTCTATTTAAATCCCAAGAAATTGTTGCACAGACCCAATCTTTTTCTCTCACCCTCTCTCTCTCTCTCTCTCTCTCTCTCTGCTTAAACAAGAATAATAACTTCCTCTTCCTGGGATCTTTTTACCGTCCAAAGGCTTTTGCTAAATTCCAATTAGACCTCTTCAAAAGAAAGTGTCTTTCACGTTTCACTCAGAGTCACGGTTCCAAGAAATTCACCTTCTTGAAAAACCTTCAAAGAAGTTAACTCATCCTTTCCGGTCAATGTAAATGGAGAAAGGGCATATGTACATCTACCCATAGCTATATATAGATCTCCTATGGGGGCTTGCTTTTACATTATATAGTTTTTGGAATTCTAAAGAGGTTTTGAAGGATGAGTAGAAGTGGCGAATCATCGCATAATCGAACCCCTAGAGAGTTAATCTGTCACGCTGGTGCTGGTGCTGCTGCAGGTTAGATTAATAAATTTTATTTTTTTAGTTTTATATTTGTTGAATCTTTGTTTTAAGGATTTTTTCTTTGTATCTAGTTCAAGCAAGAGCTAGAAATTAAGTAGTGTCAAGTGGGTTCTGTTTGTTAATTGATGTTTACTGCTTGATAAGTCATTTGAGTAAATTTGATGCGTTGTTGATGATGTTGATACTTGCAGGTGCTATTGCAGCTACTTTTGTTTGCCCATTGGATGTTATCAAGACAAGGTTACAAGTCCATGGCTTGCCTGTGACCCCCAATTCAGGCCGTGCAGGTATTGTTGATTTTGAGCACTTGAATATCATGTTTATGGTGGTTTTTGGATCTATATATTGGTTTATTTGGGTGCATTGTGGTGGACGTTCTATGGAGGTGCCTTGGCATTGAATTTACCTTTTAAAGGACAAATCATTTGCCAATGCCAGTGATCATTATAGGAACATAGAATCCTGATTTCTTTTTTATGGTTAAACCGTTTTTATTGGTTTATTCAATAAAGGTGTGTGCCTGTCATTTTAATGCGCATGTGGTTTTCACACACTAGGGATTAGTTCACATACTTTCATGGTTAATTTCTTCTGTTTTAATGAAGACTTAAGTTTCTAGCTGCTTGAGCTTTTTCACACTAACAAAAGAATATATGCTATCTTCTATATTTTCTCTATGCAGCTATTCTTAATTTCAAAAGAGTGTAAATATGATACTTGAACTATATTGGACTAGAACAATCTGAAGATGGCTTTAAAAGTGATTCTACTCCTAACTATAGGCCATTTTTTTGCTTATCAATAAATGATAATTCTTTGTTCTCTTCTCTTTCATCTGTAATCAGGTAGCGTCATTATTACAAGTCTCCAAAATATAATCAGGACTGAAGGTTTTAAGGGACTGTATCGCGGTCTTTCTCCGACAATAATAGCACTACTTCCAAACTGGGCTGTGAGTATTACCCTGTTTTTTGATTACACGAGGCCATTGCTTGAAATGCATTTAAGTGCTTATGATATGATTGCTAGGACTAAATATATGAGGCACTCTCTGATACATGATAAAAAAAAGTGCTGTTTTTTGTTGGCTAATCCACCTTAGGTAACATTTACCTCTGTGTTTCAACTAAATATAATTGATGGATCAAGAATCTTTAAGATTCCTGCCAAAAAAGAAGAGCATAATATGAAGCTAAGCCTTGTCCATCTTGTTTGCGATGTAACTTGTGAAGATTGAATATTTCCTCCAGTTCAATTTCTTTGTGATGTTATTGAGGATAAAAAAGGATCGTAATGAAAGAAACTGTCAAACTTTGACTTCTCATATCTATAAAATTTTATGAGGAAACACCGGCACTGCTTCCAGCAGAGAGAAAGAAGTGTCATAATCGTAATTGCTCCCTTATTTTCTTGTAGGAATCTATTCAACTAGACTTCCACTGACATGCATTGATTACTGAGGTCCTTGGAAAATCAATTCCAAATTCAGATGTCTTTTCTCTTAAATTGATTAAAGCAACTTTCTCAAAGTCATGCTTCATTTCTCTCTTAGCAAACACATGTAAAAAACCATCTTATGTACTCAATATATTTCAATAACAACCGTGCTCATTTTATTTTTAGGTGTATTTCACAACATATGAACTACTCAAGGGCCTACTACTTTCACATGGTTGGTATTTTGCAGTGTTGCCTTTTTTTTTTCTTTTCTTTTTGCTGTGGCCTTCTCTTGAGTTCTTTTACAAACCTTGTTCTATTAAACTTCGTTTTTCTAGGCTACAAAGGATTCTGGATTTTGTTGGTTTGCTTCATTATTATTATTATTATTATTTTTTAAATACTTCATTTTGTTGTATTGTAGGGGATGCTAATAACGAACTCACAATTGGTACAAACATGGTAGCTGCTGCAGGTGCTGGAGCTGCCACAGCCATTACTACAAATCCATTGTGGGTTGTGAAAACCAGACTTCAGGTAAGTCTAGCATGGTTATATATATATATATATATATAAAATACAATACCATTCCTTTTGAACATGCTATATTCTAGAACTGTTTTTATACTATGCTTGCTTCCTCCTTCACTGACAGTCGTTTTTAAAACATCACAGCAACTTTCAAATTAACTTACTTGCACATATGCTTGTCTCTCTGTGTGTGTTTATGATTTTAGAGTGCTGTCTACCTGTACTTAGTTTGAGCATTGAGTTCATTGTTGTGTAGCAACAAATATGTTTCTCCATGTTGCAGTCTTGCAGAAGTATTTAAACCAGGTCATAACTGGAAATGGGTTGGAATTCCGAGGATGAAACTCCTTAACAGTGCTAGAGTTATGCATGAGCCAAGCATTCATATGTTTTGGACCATAAAGATAAACCTCCCGGATAGCAGATGTAAAGAAAGTTAGTCAATATCATTCGGTTTTGAGATTCTAACAACGTCTTTGCTTTCTCCTTTTCTAAAAGGCATTTAGCATCGAAGCATTCTCATGAAGTAAGAACTAAAGTTAGGCATTAAGATAATTAAAATAGTTAAACTGCAAGCATGAGATCCACTATCCTGCCCCATTTTTCTCCTTAGTAGTAAGCAAAATGCCAAGCACATCGAGTATGATATTGTAGTGCAAAAACATATGTACGTGCTTTTGCCTTAGATGTGAACTTTTTGTTTCTTTTTGTGGTTAGCTGTCAAAAGGATATGTAGTTTATATTTTATCTTCAATGTGCACATCACTATTTTTTGCTCTTGAAATTGCAAGTTTGAATGGAAAGTTTGCTGAGCTAATATGTGTTTGGCATTAGCTGCTAAAGGAAAAACATAATATCCTTGAGAAGGGGAATGAGATTTCAAGCTCAGTGCATAATTACAAACTAAACTCATTGCAATTTCTAGATTTAGAAATGAACAGGTGGATTTGATTTTGGCATTTTAGTTTAATTGTTGAATGAAAATCTTAAGAGTTGAAAATTTTCATTCTAGAAAGGGGAAAGAATGGAAGAGAGACAAAATAGGAAATCCTGGTCTTAAATAAAATACCTGGGAGTTGGCACATGAGGTTACATCTTTACGTTGGTGGTTCAAATTCACAATCTAGAAAGTCTTTGTTATAGATTTTCTAACACTTTGAACTGTCTCAAACTAGCAAAAAGTAGAAGACTTGAATTCAAATTTCTCCTGCAAGTCATGGACTTAAATGCAAATGATATGAATTAGCATCCGTCCTATTTACAAAACTATATGTGCTATTTCTTCAGAATGTATTATTTAAATTGTCCATCTGATATGCACAAAGCTACTTGAATTGGTCGTTGAGAAAATTTAGGTTGATGATTTTTAATCAATTCTATGCTGGTCAATATTCTGTGCAATTTTCTTCAACTTCTTTTCTCAAGATAGCAATAGACATTTCTACCTAGCGAAATTCCTATAATTGGTTGGTATATGGCATGTAGAAACTAGATTTACAGTAATCACTAATACTGTTTTTTTTTTTTTTTTTGATTTACAGTTAATCTTTTTTTTTTTTTTTTTTTTTGGAGAGAGAGAGAGAGAGACAGAGAGGTGGAGGCAGAGGGCAGATGGGTAATAATTTGCCTTAGGTGGATCCTGGCAGTTGTTTGCTTTTAATGGTTTATGGTCAAATATGTGTTAAAAGATTTCTGTTGTTTTTCCTTTCTTTTATTTAGTTATTATACTTGCTTTATGATCCTGGAGACTTTGAAAACAGCATAACTATTGGATATGTGCTCACACATGCAGTATATACATTTTGAGGGAAGGTTCTTTCTGATTTTATTTGTGGTCTATTACTTGATGTACTCAACATCACAGCTCCGCATAACCAAGCGCCTTTCTCATTGTGGCTTATGAGTTATGCAATGTAATATTTGATCTATAGTTATGGTTCTTTTTAGTCATTCAGTTGTTTCCATCTTGTTTTTTTTAGACACAAGGAATGAGGCCGGGTGTGGTTCCTTACAAAAGCATAATCTCTGGTTTGAGAAGGATTGTACATGAGGAAGGCATTCGGGGGTTGTATAGGTCAGTGCAAAATCTAACATTTGAGCCAGCTTTTTAATTGATTTTAGATGTAGATACTTATGATGATTGGCTTACTTTGCCTGGATTTCACGCTTCAATGTCATAATGCTTTTTCTTGCTATGAAACAGTGGCATTCTACCTTCTTTGGCTGGGATAAGTCATGTTGCAATTCAATTTCCTGTGTATGAAAAGATAAAATCTTATGTGGCTGAAAAGAGTAATGTTTACTGCTTAATTTTTTCTGGGTTGTGTATCCAAGATTTTTTTTTTTTTTTTTTTTTTTTATTATTATATTTTATTCTTATTGGTTTCAACATTCCCAGATAATACAACCGTTGATAATCTAAGTCCTGGGGATGTTGCAATTGCTTCCTCAACAGCCAAAGTTGTTGCCTCTGTATTAACGTATCCTCACGAGGTGTGCTTTGCATTACTTTCTCTTATGCAATTGTAATGGGGGGCCAATCACCTGCAAAAGTCTCAATGTTTCTCTTGCTAACACATGCACATGTACCGTGGATTCAGACTTCATATTGTTGTAATATGTGCATTTCATATTCCAGGTTGTGCGATCAAGGCTTCAAGAGCAAGGGCAAGCCGGAAATTCTGAAGTTCGATACAGTGGACTCGTTGATTGTGTTAAGAAGGTGTTTCAAAAGGAAGGTTTTCCTGGTTTTTATCGTGGCTGTGCAACTAATTTATTGAGAACAACGCCATCTGCTATCATTACATTTACCAGTTATGAGACGATGCGTAGGTTTCTAGATCGAGTTCTTCCTCCATACAAGAAGCATTCGCAGGCTCATCCAAAATCTGATAAGCGACCTGCGATTGAAACCAAAGAAAACGAAATGAGTAACAACATTGTTTTGGGGCAATCACAAACCCAACCAAATGAAAGAACTCCCTCTATTCCTTTGGGAAATAAGGAGAAGCTAACTGCAGCTAACTGATTGACTGTTGTTTCTTTTGCAACTTCCCAATTCCTGGTATGGGTTCTCCATAGAAAGTGAATAAATTTTTGATGAATAAAATGCAAAATTCTTTTGTTCCTTAATTTGCTTGTATTAATTATTACTAAATTTTACAGAGTAGCTAATTTGTTGAATTTCTGTATCAGTTGCTGATTATTTTATACTCATTTATTGCTGTGAATGTTCATTTACGGACCTTGCATTTATGTAGTATTTCTGTTTATTTAAGATTCATAGGGAACATAAAGGTCTTCAATTCAGGGAAAATAATGTTAAGCTGGAACCTTCTACTCTGTTGTCCTCTGCTTGTACAATAAATAAATTTAACTTAACGTGCTTCTATGAAATCACTTTTATTTGTACAAAAAACAAATATATAAACAATCTTTTAGATTTTTTTTTTTTTTGGAACAAAGGAATTTGAATAATATTATTTAGCTTTATAACTTCTATAATTATGCACAATTTCAAAAATTTTAATAACATAAAATTTTTAAATATCTCAAATTCTTCTTTTGCTCATTTTATCTGTCATTTAATGTTTTTATTTGAAGATTAATGAAGAGCCTTATTTATAATGTTTGGTTCCGCAACATTTACAATGAAATATTTTCGTTGATATTTTCTTTGAAACACTAGTAAAACAAATTACAAAACAACTAATGTTAAAATTGGAAAAAACATCACTTAAATTATAATAAAATAATTACTTATATTTAATAGAAAATAGTAAAATTGTAAAAATAAAAAAAATAAAATCGAGTGGAATGAGTGTATCATTTTCTAAGCTATAATCCAAGAATGCGAATACATCTCACAAGTATCTGGAAACTAACTTTTGGTTGCTTGATGTTGCTCCATCCTTTGCTTTTATTCTTCGGATTACAATTTACAAATGGCACTTTCTACTTTTATCAAACGGCATCTAGTGGTCTCCTACTATATATATAAGCCCCACCGCTCCTCTTCCTCACTTTATCTTTCCACAGAATGTACAGTGTTCAATTTATCTCTATTTCAAGGTTTTTCCATGGCAGCATGCATTGCTTTAATCACTACCCCATTCTTCTTTCCCTTCATTGATTTTTGTGAGTTGCCTTTTCTTGATGTTTATATCCACCAACAAATTTCAATTTCTTGCCTAAAATAATAAACAATTATTAACACTGTTTGGTTGCCAAGAAAAGTAACTCGAGGAATCGATGCTAAGAATATTGAAAAGCAAATGTTCTTAATTTATTTAGAAATATTATATATTGGGAAATAAAAAGGCCAAAAACTACAAAATTCGATTTCAAGAAAAATGGAAAAATTATTTACTACAGAAGAAATAATCTTCTTCTTCATAATTCGGTTAAGTTAATTTTACTCTTCTTCTTCTGGAATACCAACTAGCATAGGTCGCCAAGCTCTTCTAATCAGATACCTATGTCTAAAACCGATCCATCCCGGTCGAGGTGAACCGGCCAGTTCAGCTCCTAAACCGTTCACTCTCATCCGAAACACTTCACACTTGCCTCCAATCATTTCTCTAACCTTATCTTTGTTTTCTTCTTCTTCTTCAAATGACGGAGACGACACAAACAAGTCCTTTAAGGTGTCTCTCTTTTTCTCCGGCAGCGGTGGAAGGAGACGTTGCTGGTGAGGAATCGGCGATGGCTCATGTCGGCGAGGTGACCGTCGGCCAGAGCCGGAGCTTCGGGTGAGAAGCATGCGGAGAGTGGTTTTCTTGCGGCTGCGGAGGTGGACGATAGGACTTGTTCTGGGACTTCGTGTTGGACTCTCCGCCACGCCGCATTGCGTAGCGAGCAGCTTGAATTTCTGCAGTGTCGCCATATTTTAAGGTTCCTCTCTTTCTCTCAAGTTCTCCTCAGATTACTCGACATGAAATATGTATATATACATACATGAATTGAGGAAAGGAGAAATTTGAATTTAAAAATGATAAAAAGACATAAATACAGTGAATGTGTTGCTTGAAAGAGGGAGATTGGGATCTATTTTGGAAATCTCTCTTTCTCTTCTTTTCTTTTTGGAATATTAAAGTGCGTGCTTTGAATGGAATTTTGGAAAATGACGCAGAGGCAGAGACTAATACGTTTCCCAAAGTAAATTCCAAATCCATGGCCTGTGAAAAAGAAGCACACTCTCTCTCATCTCCGTCTTCACGAGAATGAATGAAAAGTCTGTTTTGGCCTTGGCTTTAAGTAGTGGGAGAAATAATGAGAGGGAAAAATAATCAAAAAAAAGAAACTCATGGTTTTGGGATTAAGACGTGCAAAACCACCTATCGAATCTAACCGAAAATTGATCCATTTTGATCAGTTTGTTTAAGAGAAGTCCTGTATTATAGGGTTAATCGATATGAACCAAAGTTATTGTTGATTCAGTCCGGTTTACAGAAGTTAATTAGTTAGATTTAAATCAAATTGATATGGTAAAAATCGGTTAAAATCCACAGAATTGATTGATTTGATTCAATCCAATTTGATTCGAGGCTAAAAAGCTTGATTTATATTTTTCACTTTTTTCTATTCGGTTTGAATTAAACTGACTATTTGCTCTCCCCTATTAAGTAGGGTTGCACATGGAATGATTTAGTTCGATTTGAAACAATAACGAAATCAAACTTAAAGTGGCCATTTGAAAATTTTGAAACCAAATCAAATCATAAGAAATACAAATCAAACCTTTAGAGCTGGTTTGATTCGCTAACTTATCTAGTTAACAAGGAAAAAAGAGCCATTAATATTAGGTTAAACTTAAACATGGAAAATGGACTAATACAAATAATTACATAAAACACATGATACTAACTCTGGTCCCATAAATTATATCATAGTTGAAATCAATGATAAAACTTTTTAAATTTTTCTAATAATTAATGATATTATTTAATAATAATATTATTAATAAAAATTTCGAAAATCCTTTTTCATTTGTCATTATAAATGTGTATTTTATTTAATTGTACAAAGTTAAGATTGATAAATTATCTCATTATATATTATGTCACAAAAAGTGTCCATCAGAAAAAAAATTGAAACCTACAATTTATATGAGGTTACTAATTATTGAAAATGAAAGACTTTTTTATTACTATCTTTATTGTATAATACTTGTTATATTTATAATTTCATGTTCTTGAGAAAACCATTAAATTTGCCTAAATTATAATAAATTATGACTAAATTGACTATATTACCCTTGATTTAATATTAATTCTCTAAAAAAAATATTAAATTGAAGTAATTATTATTGATGGTAAACATGGAAAAAAAGAGTTATAACTCATTGGAACTACAAGTATTTTAGAGCAAACTATTTTTTCAAATATAACAAGTATTATGGGACGGCAGCAGTAATAATAAGAACACAAATAGTAAATTCATACAATATTAGTTAAATTTTGAGAAAATAATATAATAAAATTGCAAATTTTCACGCAACGTACACATGACTAATTAAATAACCATTTGCATATTTGGGTTTTGATTGAAGGCATTCGGTGCACTCTGTTCTAATACTAAATAAATAGGTAAATCTTCCTATGTTCATGTTTCTGAATAAATTTTGGTGCAATACATAGTATTTAAACCTCACATAACAAAGTAATAGAATAATGAGGCAAATGTGAATACTTTCTCTGTATCCAGAAATAGAATGGGATATTCCTTTCGTTGACAGATTTATTTCTCTCTCTCTATTTGTTTAAAGTGTTAACTGAAAACCATGCTCTGATCTGAATTTTCTTAAAAGAAAAAATGTAAAAAAGAAAAGAACTATGATAATGCTGAGTAAATGTTTTTGGTTAGACAGAAGCTATGTGTGACATTTCAATTAGGTGAAAAGTAGTTCTTTTTAATTCCCAGGCGATTGAACCAAAAATTTGTTCTATTTTTCCATAGAAATAGATCCGTTCAAGGGCTCGAGAAATATTTTGCCTGCAATTTTACCCTCTTAGTTTTGCTATAAGTTTTGTATATATCTATGAACAGAAGAGAAACAAGCAAATGAGGACCTAATGAAATATTATATATATTCACATCAATTATCTTGAAAATCAGGATACTAAAAAAAAGACACTTTAACAACTGAAGTTAGATGAAGAACAGCCGCTACTAACCCATTTATGATTAACTGAATTAGGTGAGGGTGGTGGCCTGATATTCTTTAGCAATGCAATCTCATCACAATCTGGTTGTGGAGGTTGCAGCTTCATGCTCTTTAAAACTTTGTTATCATGAAGTCCCTCTGTTGGATTCTCCAACTCGTATCCCCCAGTTTCAATTGTCTGTAGTTGTTGTAATACTTCCTCCATAGAAGGTCTCATTTCCTTATCCTGTTGCAAGCATTGAAAAGCCAACTCTGCAACTGAAGTTATCATTCTGTTAACTTCCTTATCTAAATGATGTCCAAGACGTGGGTCGATCAGCTCATCAAACTCGCGTTTTCGAATCTTGTTCATCGCTAAATTGGCCAAATTAATCTCATGCCGATGCCTACTCATATCAACAGCAGGCATCGATGATACAAGTTCAATTAGAACCACACCAAAGCTATAGACATCACTCTTGTTAGTTAGCTGATAACATTGGTAATATTCTGGGTCAAGGTAGCCAGGAGTCCCTTGTGGAGCGGTTGAAATGTGAGTGGCATCACTAGGGAACAACCTCGAAAGCCCGAAATCTGCAACTTTGACAATGTAATTGCTGTCGAGGAGAATGTTATTAGTTTTCACATCGCGATGAATGATATCAGAAGCATGGAGGTAAGCTAGAGCACTAGCTGTTTCTGTAGCAATCCTCAAGCGAATGGCCCAAGTTAGTGGGCTAGAGTTGGCTTGATTGCCATGGAGATGATCAGCAATTGTACCTTTGGGAATGTATTCGTAGACAAGGAGAAGCTCACGGCTGCGGCGTGAAGTGCACCCATAAAGGGACACAAGATTTTTGTGGCGTAGGCGTGTCAGGATTTCTATTTCATTCATGAACTGCTGAACCCTTCTATAGTCATGCTCATACAGTCGCTTCACTGCAACTTCCCCCCCATCTCGTAGTATACCTGGTTGAAAATCATAAAAAAAAAAACACATTAAAAAAAATATGTTTTGGGATTCAAGAATTATAGAATGTGCCTGCGTACCATAGTATACCGCTCCAAAACCTCCATTTCCTAGCTCCTTTTCAGGGTGAAAGTTACCAGTAGCTTCTTCAAGCTCAACAAAGGAGAAAATAGGGACCTCAAAGTAGACACTGTCTGCTTCCAGACCTGAGCTTGAGGAGGGATTGGAAGAAGAAATTGTTGAAAGGATGATAGAGGAAATGTGCTTTCTACGGCGATGGCGCTGAATGAAAATTATGGACAGCATAACTGCCACAGCAGCAAGGCCTCCGACAACTATACAGAGAAAGAGGATAGAATGATTTTGTCTAATGTTTGCACAAGAAATTAACATATGCTATATGGGAGAAATAAAATGTCAAGGAAGAATTTACCTAGTATTAGCTTCCATACTAACCCTGCATAACAAGTGAAAATTAACTATAGTTTTAGTTCGAATAGTGAATTAACATATTCCTAGATTTTAACAAAGTAAGGCACCAAAAAAACAACAACATTTTTGAAACCAAGTCAAATTCTAGTCTCACTAACACAAATAGGCAAGCTAAATAGACTTAAAAGTACATCAGATGTATATAGGAAAGGATTTTGATATGGCATAACAACTAGAAAAGAGTACAAGTAATTCTTACATGTCATACTCTAGACATAAGTGCACAAGGAGTTACCGGAACATACCTCTGTGTTTTCTTCGCTTGGTTTTCCTTATTAAATTTCCTTTTGCATCAAGGCATTGGAACTTTTTTTTGCTGTTGCCTAGGCATTTACCTCCGTATAGTTGACACCAGTAACATTCTAGCCAAAAGAACACTTCTAGAGAGAAATTGGCAGTCAACAGATGAAAAATGTCATCATAATTTTGATTTACATTGAAGGGTAGCTGAAGAATTGAACAATTAGGTGGAGGACTTGGCAGAGCACTTCTGTTCATGTAATTATAGTAGATGGTGAAGTTCTTGCACTCTGTATAACTAAAATCAAAATGAGTAAAATTGGCAGGATGGTTGCATTTGAAGAGGGTTAGATTAGGCCTAATTCGAAAAGGGGCATATGTTAAAATAGGAACACTCAAATTGTTGAAGGACTGACACTGTCTGTTATCAATCTGCCGTTGTAACTCTGTGTCGGTTATAGAAATGGTATTAGACTGTGAGATACTTTCAACTTCATACCATTTTCCTTTTCCCCTCTCTAGTTTGATCTTTTGAACTTTTTCGCTGCAACCATCCAGTACAAAGGGACCGCAGCCTTCAAGGAGTGTTTTATTGGTGAAGGGAAGCCTGAGTTGGCCAAGCTTTCCACAGTCAATTGGAGGGCAGAATTTGTAGAAGTCTTGTATTTGTTCTGGGGAATAAGAAACAACAGAGTGAAAGAGAGAGAAGAAAGAAAGGAAAGAGATAACAGTAACATCCATTCCCAATAGGTCTCAGTGACTTCTGATTACTGGAGGTAAGATTAATTATATGGAGTATGGAGCACTTTATCCGCAGAACACGTCTTGACCTTGAAATTTTGACATAAAAGAAGACTTCGTCAATATGGAGTGAAAAAGCAGCAGCTTTGGCTATTTTTGGCAAAGTTACAGAGCTCTCCCATTTCCTACAAATTTCTTCCCACCCCATTTAGTAAGATTAAAGCCTCAAACTTTCTTATTAGAATTTTAAGGCAAGATTTAAACCTGAAACTTTTTTATTGAGAATTTATGCCTTTCTTGTTGGCTTATCTCCTTAGGTACTAAAAGTCACATTTTTTTTTTTCCAATAATTGACCGTGAATATAATTTACAGATGCTTTTTTACTGTTTACAAGCAGTAGAAAGACTTGAAAGACTTGACTGCCTTATGCTTCAAAATCTATTGATTACTGCTTCTTTTGCGGATCACATACATTTTCCAGGCAATAACACTAAAGAAACAAAGTGCTGCCGCCGTGGGAACACAACTTTAGTGTGCGTGTGGTCCATAAGCTTTGCTAAAGATTGGGATGTCCACTTATAGGGTAAAAATGGAATTGCATGTGAAGAATTGAAGAGGAAATGCAATAGGCATTGCCATAACATGATCAAAAGTACAACAGGAGACTGTTATTTTGAATTTTACTCCCATTTTCCAAGGAAAATAAGTAAGTTCAAGGTCTTGATTGTTCCATAAGTTGACAGACTTCTTTCTTGTTCTTTTGCTTCTGTCTTATGATTCCAGGTTTTAAATTGTATACAATTTGATGTAAGTTTTAAGTTCCTTATTTTAGTTTTAATGTTGAGCAAGATTCCGTCTGTTATAGAAAAATAAGACAAGGAAAGAGATAATGTGAAATTAATATTTTCAAAATCTGAACATTAGTATTTACATTCACCATAAAACTTCAAAGCTACCAATATTGTGAAGTATAAATCTATGTTTCTATGTAGTATTTTACATTCACCAGTCAAAACTTCAAAAGCTACCAATATGTGAAGTATAATCTATGTTTTCTATAGGAGAAGGAAAGATGGAACAAGCCAGATGAGAACAGATTGAAATAACAACCTGGCTATAACTTATTCATCAGCTATGGCTTTTTCATACTTAGTTTCATCACACTCTCCTTTGTCTCTCTCGACTTTCAATTTTCTCTTTAGTACCTCCCAATACCTATCCATAGGGGCAGGTCTCATTTTCTTATCTTGTTGTAAGCACAAAAAAGCCAATTCTGCAACAGGAAGTTGTCATTCTCTTGACTTTCCTCGTCTGACTGATTACCCGAGTTGGGTCCATCAACTTCATCAAATGCACCTCCTCTTGATTCTGCTTTAATGCTAAGTTGCTAAATTAATCTCTTGGCTATGCCTGTTATCGGTCAGACAAGGCAGGCATTGATGATATAAGTTCAAACAAGGACAAACACCGGACTATAGACATACTCTTTCAGTTAATAGTTTGGTCGTCTCCAAATACTGCAATGAGTAGTATATTCAGGGTCGACATGCCTGAGGAGTCCCTTGCCATCTGGGCAGTCGAGATAAATGGTAACATCCGTTTAGGAACAATCTTGGACATCCAAAATCAGCAACTTTGACACAGAATTTGTTGTCAAGAAGAATGTTGTTGGTCTTAACATCTCGCATCTTATGACACAGAAGACATTTGGAAGGTAAACCAGTGCACTTGCGTTTCAATTGGCATTCTCTCCTGATAGGCAGCGTGAGAGACAAGAGTTGGCTGATCCATGAAGATGATCAGCAACTGTGCCTTAGATGTACTCATGACAAGGAGGAGTTCCGGCTGGGCGGGAAGTGCACCCGTAAAAGGGATACAAGATTTTGATGGCGCAACCGTCGTCAACGATTTCTATTTCATTCAAATTGCTGAACTTTTTTATAGTTACGGCTTCTATAGGGTTTTCACTTTGCACTTTCACGCCCATCCACAGTATTGCTGGCAGGTGGGAGATTTGGAGATTGATCAAAGAATTAAATTACTACTAGTTGATTCAATAAATAGCTATGCAATTTTTTGGTTAAATGAAGTCAAGATATTTGTTTCTTACCATAGTATACAGTTCCAAAGCCTCCATCTCCTAGTTCATTTTCTGGTGCAAACTTGTTGGTAGCTTCTTCAAGTTCAATGCAGGTGAAGATGGAGACACTAAAGTAGAGATTGCTACTTTCCAGGTCAGATTTTGAGAAGAGATGTGAAGAAGTGTTTTCTGGGAGTAAGTTTGAGGCAGTGTCTTTTCTATAGTACCGATACCAGAATAACAATACAAGCGCCGATAATATCAAAAGGGTAGCAGATCCAATACCTAAAAGAAAGTAGTTTTTACTGTCATTTAAACATACATCCATGGAAGTAACATATAAAATTATATATATAGTAAATGTTGAGAAATAAACATGTATCTAGAATGAGATGTTTGATCAAGGACAGTCAATACTACTCCCTAGCTTGACTTCCCAACGCTTGAAACAAAAATTTAAAAATATTGCTATTAGTTTTAGAAAACTAAATCAAACAGATCCTTTCTTTAGTGAATACAACATTAGAAATAAAGTAAACTGCAGATCACTTACAGGGTATACGGGATTAATTGCAGGGAAATGATTATTGGCTTTTTGTGTGTTAAAGTGATAGGTTCTATTAACCATGCATATGTAATAGTTAGTGATGAATGATTTTCTATTGACATTATTTCTTTTTGTATTTCATTGGAAAATTTGCATGTTAAATAATGTTATTGCATAGAAAATAATTATAGATTAGTACAATTTTGTATGATATTTAATGGACAAGTAGAAAATGGATGTTTAGTACTGACTGTTAAACATTTTCCTCTAGGTGATTCTCTAGGACATTAGAAATAATGTTTATCGTTCTTAATCTTGATTTATTTTAATATGAGCAAACATTGATTGTCTTGTGCTTTGATTCATTAAAGGGTGAGTTTCATTATTGGAATAATGTTCTCGGTGAATTGGGCAAAGATATATTGTGTTTGTGAAATATTAATTAATGATAGAATCCATGTCTCGGTTTAGAGATTGATGATGCACTTTAAGTAAGTTTATAAGGTTTCATAGTGTAAATCCTATAGGTGGATATTGAATACACATGAAATAAGTTGAGCGACAATCTTAAAGTTATATTGTGATTTAAATAAATTGTCAGTAAGTTATTTAAATGACAGCATCGTATCTTAACGTGGGGAAACATATTCTTATTATGTTGTGGAATTGTAAAATAAATAGAGTCCAGTCTTGAGTTTTTAGTGGAATAATTAAGTGGAATAATTCATGATTAATTATAATAAGAATATGTTGGTCTACATAGGTTATTATTATAATTAGTAGCCTGATTTATTTTATTCCTGAGGTCCCTGTAGTGCCCTAATTATTTGGAAAGTTAAGGGTGTATTAAATAATAGATAAATTATTCAGTTTTAAAATAATTGATTTAATTAAATAATTTTTTATTTAATTTATTTTATATTAAAAAAATATCTTCCTATCGAAGAGAGGTTTTTTAATATAAGATTGCAAAACGCTAAGAATAAAGAGATACGCACGTTATTCTATTCTCTGCCACTCAGAGAGTTCCAAAACAGAGATAGTTAGGGATTACTGCAGAAGATCGTGGGTGACTCCAAGATATCTGGAAAGAAGACCGGTGAGCGATTTTGTGCTTCAAGAGGTCAGTTTATTGATTTGTTCGATAATGTTTTTAGTTTGCCTCATATGGTTTCGATAAGGGTTGTTTCCGCTTTATACCCGCTCGCCTCATATGGTTTTAATGAGGTTGTTTCCGCTTTATACCCGCAACCATCATAAAGGAATATGTCTGCTTTTACCATTGTGCTTTTTTCTAAGACAGTGTGGGAATTCTGGATTATCCTTGCGTAAACACTTGCCTCCGTCTAATTGACACGATTTACATTCGAGGTATTCGAGGTCTTCGAGGTCGGTTACTTGAAGAGAGAAGTTAGCAGTGAACATTGTGAATATATTGTGATCATCAGTATTTTCGGTGTTCATTGGAAGCCGCCGAATTGAACAATCAGGAGGACTTGGAAATAAACTTGCAGTAACATTTTTAGGGTAGAAGATACTGTAGTCGGAGCAATTTTTATGATAAAAATCAGAATTTAGAGAAGGTACAGGGTGCTTGCATTTGTATAAGGTTGCTAGATTTGAAATCATTTGAAAATGAGCTGAAGGAGACTCGGGAAGACTCCAATCAAAGGATTCACAGTTACTGGAATTCAAATTCCACCTTAGCCCTTTGTCAATGACAGAAATATTAGTTATGAAATCAGCCTGGGAGACGTTTTGGATTTCATACCATTTTTCTGAATCCCTCCAAAATCGAATCTTCAGAGTTTCTGTACCGCAGTCATCAACAACAATAAATGGACTGCAAGAACCAGGAATTGTTGAGTTGGTGAAAGGGAAATGTTTTGCCAGGCTTCCGCAGGAAATTGGAGGGCAATCTTCGTCAAGGAAAGAAAAAACAGGATGAAAAATTGTGAATAAGAGAACGATAAAAGAAAGAGCGGCCATCTCCAGAACCCAATTACAAATAAGAAACAGAGCTACCAGCAATAAGGTCTGTAATTCTCCTTTCCGTTGTTGTTTCATCTTTTTAACAATATATATCAAAATCTTTATCTGCTAAACACGTCAGTTGACTTGGAAATTTGGCAACGAAGACTTGCAGGAAAAAGAAAAGAGTGGACTATAAAGAAGAAATTTTAACGTTAAAATGTTTTTGATTGGTTCAACCAAAATAAAATTTATGCCTTTCTTTTCATTGTTTGTGTTTTTCTCTTTGACCAGAAGAATCAGAAAGACTATATGTAGCTTCCTGCACAATTTCCTTGGGCCGAACATATAAATTGCTCCTCAGTTTGCGTCCGAAAAAAAATCTTGTGACTTTTCATACTTTAAAAAAAGGGATTTATAAAAATATTTTGAAATGACATTTTAAATCAGTAAAAATATCTTTTATTGCTAAATTAATTAATATATTATTGAAAATTAATTTTTTCCCTCTCATCCTATTTTCTCTCCACATTCATATTAGATTTGGATATTTCACAAAAGACAATC